ACTAATTACAGATGCTAGGACTTAGTGAGTTTTTGGACCACTGCTGTCTTTTTGGGCCGTAGTATCTTGATTCATTTTGCGAGGAAAGCTCCGTACTTTTGATGGATGCCTGCCATTCTTAATATATTAGAGCGCCTTCAGTTTCGTATGATACTGTGCAATACCTCTGGTGTGAAATAGTTGCTTCAAGCTCCGCGGCACGCTGCGGTGCGGCAGGCGAGCAGCCAGCGCGAAACGCGCATTGGCGCCTACAAACCTAACTGGGATACTTCACGCGTTGCGCAATGCGTGAAGTATCCCCGTTAGGTTTGTAGGCGCCAGTGCGTCGCCGCTCCGCTTTGTGTTAGGCTTATATATTTAATCTGGCGGAGTCAGCGTTATTCAACTCATGAGTTTGAAATGTTTGCACATCCTGTATGGATTATTCTCGTTTTAATTGATGAAAAAAAGTATGAATTAAAGGAAAATATAACGTGTGTTTTGTAAATAGTAAGGTGGTTCCGTATCAAACTTAATGATTTCCAAAGCACACGAATTTCTACACAATTTCTTATAGCCTTTTAAAATCGATGGCGAAAAAGCAACAGCCAGGCGATAGAGTGTGAAGCCCATCGATAGGAACTATAGCCCGGCTGCATAATTTTTTATCGCTTCGTATAGCCCGGCCGTATGATTTTCTCCGCATTCTACAGCCAGCTATATGATTTTCTGTAGCCTTCTTTAGCCGGCTAGAAGAATTCCTTTGTTATTTTGAAACGCAGCTCTTATCACCAATTTTTACCATGGATTCTGTACTTTATATGATTAAACTTCTTTTTTTCTTGGCCTCGGCATTTTGCTTCGACATCCATCAAACATTTCAACTCATATCGGCGACCAAATCGCATACCTAAAGAAATGAAGGAATTTCAAAGAACACCGTTGCCATGAGTAGGCTTGAACACCTACTACGCCTTACCAGAAAGCAACCTGCGTAACGATAGACATAAGGAACTTGGAAGTGCCACACTCTACAGCGTCTCCTTGGGATTAGCATAGGTGGATAAAGGAGGGGGGATAAGAGGTGCACGAGTGCCCCCCCCCCCCGCGTTTGCCGGAAAAAAGGAGGAAGGAAAGTAGATGAAAGAAAGGAGGAAGGAACGGAGGAAAGAAGAAGAAAAGACGCTTATATTTTGTAATTGTTTATGACAAAATTGACTCAAACTACATATCGACGGTGCAAGTCGGCAATCACATAACTCGGTTTGCGACGTTGTAGACTTCCTGTCATACTTTATTTTTTAAATGGCAAAACTACTCAACGGTAATTCTTTCAAACTGTCATGATTTTTTTTCTCAATGCGAAGAAAATTCTGCAAAAACTTCAAGCAATAATGTCAATTTGTTCTCCTTTAAGAAAATGACGTAGAGGCGGAGATTTTCAGACACCACAAACGAGTTATGTGATTGCCGACTTTCACCGGCGATATAGATAGGTACTTCGAAATTTCAAACATTTTCCGGGAAGAGGCCCCTCGACCCCCCCTCCCCTTACGCTCCCCACTTCGAGGTGTGTAGATCCGCCTATGAGGGTTAGGTTGTGGGTTAAAGTTTCAGTCTAACGCACTGATAATCGGAAAAATTATCGGCACAAGCGCAAATAGAAGACTATTTAAATAAATGGAGGGTAACGATGCACTCACACGCTCCGGGGGGTTGAGTCGACAACACGGCTCATTAATGCATTTTTCCTACCAACCATAACCACCACCACCCCCGCTCCGGGAAAGGAACGCTGCGATTGGAGAGGCTCCCCCCTCCTCGCTCCCCACCCATTTCCCTCGTCAAAAATGCCGACGATCGTAAAACTACGAGAGATTTATTATCAAAATAAGTGTCACTTTAAGCTTCAATTGATTCTCTCCTCAAAGGGTTCCAGCTCCCGCTCCGCCGATTATAATACCCCGCTCCATCCGACCACCCCCCACCCCGCCTGCCCCCTGCACTAACCTATTCTTGTTAAAGGCTCGGAAGCTTTTTGCGCTTTTTTCATACGCCTTTGCATGCTTTTGTTTCGCGCTCCGCTCCTTGCATGCAGCAGCAGTTGCCGATTGTGCGAAATTCCTAGATTTTTTCGCCTTGCATGCTATGAACTCCGTGCTCGGATACAAGTTTTTATACCGTGTCCTAAAGTTAAACTGTTAGACTGCTGAAGCGGATCCGATGAGTCAAAATGAGACTTACAAGTTTTTATATAGGGTGTCCTAAAGTTAAACTGTTAGACTGCTGAAGCGGATCCGATGAGTCAAAATGAGACTTACAAGTTTTTATACAGGGTGTCCTAAAGTTAAACTGTTAGACTGCTGAAGCGGATCCGATGAGTCAAAATGAGACTTATTTCCTCCATAAACACTGGAAAAAATACTCCGGCCATTGAAGCAGTAAATTTATGGGCTATTCAGACGTACTCTCCTAGTTCCGGGCTGAGGGGTCAGAAGTTCCGGGCGAAGCACCCGAGGCAGTCGCTTGAAGCGATGGCTCCAGTGCCCGGAACTTTTCGGTCTCTGAACTCGGAACGAACGGTATGTCTATATAGCTTGTAACTCTTTTTTCAGTGAAGTTTTTTTTTTAAATGTGCCTGTAGTCGAAGTTAACACTGGTAAAAAAAAACCTCTTGGTTCAAGAGTGCAGTTTCTTGTCGCCGGATTTAAGAGTCTGGACTCTTGTTTCAAGCGGATTTTGAATTGAATCAATGCAAAATCCGCTTGAAACAAGAGTTCAAGACTCTTAAATCTGGCGACAAGAAACTGCACTCTTAAGTCAATGCACCGCGGCATTGGTCCAAGAGGTTTTTTTTACCAGTGAAGGCTCTCCAAATTTTTTTGGAACGTGGGAGTTTTTTTCTGAGTCACTGTGACGGTTTTGGACTTATAGTTACGGATAATAGCTATTTCCTAAGATTTTTGACTCTAACTTTATCCATAGTCTCAAGCCCCATAGTTAAATTGGGATTTCGGGTGTCAAATGTAGAGAAAAGCTACTCTGTGTGCATTTTGGTGTATATTTCACTCTGAAATCTATATATAGCGCTTAAGGAACATGAGTGATATGAACGCGGAGCAGAATCTACTATTTTTACGGAGCAATTTGAACGCTCTTGGGGCGAATTTCACGTTGCACTCATATCACTCGGATTCTTTGGGCGCTTTATATAGACTCCACAGTGAGACATACATTAAATTTTACTCTAAAATGTTTAACAGTGCCAGTTGTTTACCCTAAAAAAGCCGAAATATCATGACATCTACCTTTAATTTGAGATTTCAATTTTCTGAGGTCACGCATGAATTCAGCTTTAAAAATCAAAGGAAATTTTATGATCTTGGGATTTATGGTCCAGAATTCTCTACAAAATTGAGGACAATGACGATTTTCCCAAAAGTTCGGAGGCTACTCTTCCAGCTGGGGGCACTTTTGCAGAATAAAAACTTAATGAAAGTTCAAAAACATGAAAAAAGTCGTGTTTTGAAATATAGGAAAAGCTCATGTAGTCATGGCGCTTTAAATCTGGGACACCTTGAATCATGGAGGCAGTAGATAAAGTACAAAGTAAAACACTCTATTATTTCTTCCCTATTCAAAATTTTACGTACAACACTTTCCGCGACACTCCAAAAGAAAATACATATAAGCGTTTATAATGGACATTCAGTTAAAGAAAAAAAACGACAAAAGTCGCATTTTTATGATTTGTATCGAAATTTATCGCTTCGTTTTTTTTGTATTTTTTTTTTTTAAATCTATAATGGTGGGATCTCGTGAGCATGGCAACAATAGGGGTTAGGTTACCGTGCCTCAGGGGAGGAGGAGCTTTTGCTCTTATCGCCGTGAACGAAATCCGTAGCTCTCGTTAATTTGTCGCTGTTGTTCGCGGGATCACTGAATCCGAATCTAAATCCGTCTTGATTTGTGTTTACTTTCCCATGTAAAGAACGGTTTTTATTCATCGTAAAGATACGATCTGGCTAGGGATCGTTGCTACTGACTCCACTCAGTGTTACCTCTCTCGCATTTACGAGCGAATTTCTAACAGTATGTTATGGACTGGAAAAAGAAAATGGCGCACAGGAATACTTTTACAGTAGATTTGCTGGTAATTGTTGATGCTAATAACCTCAGCATTTCTTTGTAATAGGGGCTCCTGACGGGAAATCCATTAATGCAGCAATCGATTTGGTTCACTAATCGTAACTTACTGTCGATATTTGACTCCTAATCTTATTGTGCCAACAACCATATGTCTCTTTTTTGAAGTTAAAATAAAACCAGCTCGGAAATGCGTTTTTAGCTCAAAATCCGGGCAAATTTATATTTAAGGCAATTTCTTGTCACGTGACAATCTCATTCTTATCCTTTTCAGTAGTTCATCCTGGTGATATATCTGATGATAAGAGCATGGGTGGAACTAGTGACTTTTTGTAGGGGAGCTGAAGGGCACCTCATGAAGTCTGAGGACACTCATTGGCGGATTCACAAAATTTGCAACATAGTCTTTTCTCCATTTAAACCTATAGAAATATATCGATTCATGGAGGGGCCAGGTACTTTGTCAAGAATCGATTATTTAGCATAGGTTTAAATGGAGAAAATCTGGTGTTACCAAATTCCTGGATCCGCCTCTGAGGACACTATAAAACACCCTACCAAGAGAGATTTTTGAGAGACCCCTAGCTGCACAGGTGGGTCTGGAGAATTTCCTTGGCCCCAAAGGGACTCGTCACGGGATATTTTTTGACCCATTCTCACCGAAAAATTGATTTAAATTATAATTTTAAAGAGGAAAAATATGTTACGTAATTATTATTTATTAAAATTGCTCACATTTCGCTGATCCTTAGTTCTAGCCACGGATGAGAGTAATATTCCAAATGCATAACTTTGAATGAAACTGGCCTGATGCTTGACTTTGCTACTGTTGGAGGTGACCAGTTTTTTTTTTTTCATGATTTCCTATGTTTCAGGTGGAGATGAACGGCGTGTTCGACGATCCGTTCCTGAGCGTGCTGCTCAACTCGATGGCCAACGACGTGGGCACGCGGTTCCTGAACGAGCGGAAACCTCTCATCAAAAAGATGATCCGGGAGCAAATGAACGCCTTTCTCAGCCAGGTCGTCGTCAGCCAGATGGTTCCGCAAGCACCCTTCGTTGCCAAAAGATCCGGCAGATATTTCTGATCAACCTCAATCGCTCTAGGTCAAACGTGTAGACCATTGGACATTCAAGAGCCCTCGTCCAGAATTTGAGGAGTGGAAATTCAAGACCTGGCAAGGGTCATCAGGTACTGGTCGAGGTTGTGCAACTGATTGTTTCATTTAACATAAATCGAGATACCTAGGAATCACCATTCTTGTGTTGAAAATAAGGTCAATTTTAAGGGAAAACTCCCTCGAAAAGTCCATGCAGCGAGGGCGTTTAGGGTCTTTAACAGTGAGGGGCACCCTTCACAATGTTAACAACACCTAATGACGCTTACCAGGTTTTTGATTTCTACTCTTCAAGCTCTCAAAGCTGTTCACCGGCTTTATTTATTTCATTCATTACTGTACATATCATCTCATATTTTTCATGGCTGTCGAAGCAAAATCACTTGAAAATGATACTTGTGATGGTTGTCTAGATTTTTTATCACTTTTTTATACTAACCAGGAAAATATTTTTATTCGCTTCTGATGTGTGTGTCTCTCTTTCGATGCCTTTTTTGAAGTGTAAATAAAGTAAGTTACATCATCAACTGTGTTACTATCATATTTAAAGACATTAACTTTTGTAATTTACGTAAGTTCATCAACAGTTATATTTTTAATTTCCAGCATCATGAATAATGATGCTCAACCTTCATTATCCTTAAAAAAATAGATCCTGCCGAAGTAAAGTGAAAGGGTTTGTTGCACACAAGAGACACATCCATTCTTACACATTTTTACATCACATTTTCTTTTTTTTGGAAAAATAGTCACTGGAATACCTCGAGAACGTCCTTGATTTTTCTGTTCTGTTAGCAGAATATTCTGTATAGATTTCAAGCTAGAAACTGACTTGTTTCTCGACGAGAAAATTGATTAGAAGCGAACATTTCGAAACGTCGTAATGAACATAGGTGGTTTTGCACACGAAGAAAAAAACTTCGTGCATGAGACCCGAAGTTGAGGTCAAATGGATCTCTGAAGTTTTCGGATCACGAATCCGAAAACTTGAGGTCCAGCTGCCGAAGTTCAGGTTAGATATCTAAAGTGCTTCCGTATTTACCGAAGGGTTTGGGTCAGACATCTGAAATACTCCGGTACATACCTAAGTGCCTCGATATGTGACCCGAACTTCGGCAGCTGGACTTCAAGTTTTCCGATGCGTGATCCAAAAACTTCAGAGATCCATATGACCTCAACTTCGGGTCTCATGCACGAAGTTTTTTTCTCCGTGCACTTTGACCAAAAACTTGTAAAAGTGCGAGATACCATTCTCACGTAAAAAAAGGAGAAGGGTCTCCAAACTTGGACATTTTAACATTTTTTTAAAGAGTTTCCTCTTTGAAATTTAAAAGTGTTTTCATTTTGTTGGACAGCCAATGTACTTAGATAAGCAAAGGTGGGCCGAGCTCACGCTGCTACTTGGCGACCCCGACCCTAGCGAAGAAAGGACACGACTAATTAAGTGAGAAACAGAGTATGACTCGCTCCGTTCCGACCGGGGAGGGGTGAGATGGGGGGCTCCAAGAGAGTCCTGAGGGATGAGAAAAAAACTCCGCTTGTAATTTGCCCGGGCCAATTAGTCGCGACACGCTCGGCTCGTCTGTTGCCACAGCCGTGGATAATCTCTCGGAAAAACGCAAGAAACAAATCAAGAACACTGAAAAAAAAATCTCGGTGTATTAACTAAGAAAATGGTAAAATTACCAAGAATTCAGGGTTCTATTTGATCCCAGTTTTTTCTTGGTAAAATTACCATTTATGGAATTGGTGATCCTACCGAGAAATCTCGGTAAAATTGTTGAACTTTCTCGGTAATTTTACTGGACCTTGGTAAAAATGCCAATATTTTTTATCGACTGTGGTAAATTTACCGGGATAAAATGGCAAAGTTACCGGGAATTGATTACCGATAAAAGTAGTAATCTTACCTGAAAAAAAACAGTAAAAATACCGGTTTTTAGGGAAGTTTACCAGTCTGTCTTGGTAAAATTACCAATAATTGGTAAAAAAAGTGAGATGGGAAAGGTACCAACGGACCGTGGTAAAAACGCCGAGAATTTTTTTTTCAGTGAAAATCCATCGTTGGACGCTTTAGAACCAAAAGGAATCTTAAGCTTTCCATCGTAGCTGCGATGGAGGTGTCATCTTGTTTCAACTTTGGGCGTCGATGTATAGTGAAGCACAGTCATGGATCCAATCAAACTGCTACAAGCAACTATTAGTGCTCCTGAGCCACTCACATTGCCTAATCCCGCTATTGAAGGCGAACTGGTCTTGATGAGCGTGAAAATCTCTATCAGACCTCGAAACAAGACTCAACACCGATGTTTTTTGTTTGTTTTTCCATCAACATCTCGTGTAGAACGGTTGAGCACATTGTTAATGTTCAAAATCCACTCACTGCCTAGGAATTGGTTTTTTTTCATCTGTTGACATAATCGTCCTACTTGCAAAAAGTCAAAATGAACCTTGATAATGAAGCGTGTTAGATATACTTGAGTATGGACAGTGCCTATGAAACTTACGTTTCATTATTAATTTCTTAACAAACAAAACCATGCAATAACTAAGATGCTTATAAATACACATAACGTTCAATAAGTCCTGATTCCCACAAAATACTATTACCTACGGGGGCTCTAAGACATGTATAGATAAAGATCATGTATAGATGGATGCCCCAAAGTAGCACTGATCGCGATAAGTTGTGATTTGAGCAGAGAAAGTGGCGCAATTTTATCAACGTCGATTTATGCAATATTATCAGATGATAAATTGCGATTTCATCGCATGAATTTGCAATAAAATCCTGATTTTATCGACGGCGATATGTATCAATTTTATCGAACAAAAAATTGTGATAAATTCAGATGAAATTCCGATTTTATAGAGATAAAATCGCGACAAGTTTAAAGATTATCTCTCGGATGTTGATGATCCTAGCGAGTTTATCGCAAAAAAATCGCAATGAAATCGAACTTAAATTTTAAATTATTGCGATTTATCCGCTGAAAAATGCTACTTGGGGTCTGTTGTGCAATGCCATCCAATGTATAGGTATGCGGGATTTAGAGTCGATTCTCAAGTCATTGCTCTCAACAAAATTCACTCGAAAATTGCTCCTGCTATCATATTTAAGTCAATTAGCTCTCTCAAAAGGAATCTCGTGAGGAGTCTCAAGTGGCTGCAATTGTAAGAATCTACTTAAAATTTTGTCTTGAATTCAAAGATTAGGATTATATACATGATTCACGAGTGATTGTGCACACGATGTTTCGAGCGTTATGCTAAAACTTAGGTCATTTAATTTTTTTAAGTGCTATCAATGGTAAAGCTATATTTCGGTGGTGGGGGGGGGGGTTGGCTGATAAGATGCTCGTGAGATATCTGTTTCGAACCAAAATAATTAAAACGTGTATCCTTATATATATTGAGGAGACAACTTGGACTAATTATGTTAAAAAGAAGTGTGGACAGACGAGGTACATTAAAACTACAATAAATAAGAACGCAAATATTGTGTGCATAGTTGGTTAAATTCTCTTTTAAACAGTCATCAGTTTTAGCATAAATACGACCATTCGCCCCCCTCCCTAAGTGCACACATATCTAAGGGTCCATTCATGAGATACGTAAAGCTAAATTTCAAATTTTTTGACTCCCACTCCCGGCTCCCTTGTAACGCTTTGGTAACATTCTCTGCCTCTTCACATGTATAAAAACAAAATTGCGTAACGCTTATCTCCTCTACCCTCCTCTTTCTAATAGAGTGTTACGTATAGTTTATGAGCTGTCCCTGAACTCATAAACTCTCCACTCGTGTCTCTTCAATATTCTACGAGCCCTTTGAATGAAACCCTTAAACATTCATGGGCCATCATTCTTCTACTCAAAGTAGGAATTAAATGTTTTCTTGAGAGAAATTCCTTCTTTACTTCAAGAAAAGCAATTACCTACACCAGAACTCGCTAAAGGTCTGTTGGGTACCTACATATGTATTCCCTAAATCTCCTTAGTCCATACAATTGATATTAATTGGACCGTGTTAAGCAGGAAGGAACCGAGCCACATCAGCTATTGCCAAAAACTGGGCAATTTAATTTTTTCCATGAAAACGGTTGTTCGGATTTTTGTGCGAATTTCAGTGAATTTGCTGCACAGTACGAGGCAAATTTCCCGAAATGTTCAGAGGAATCCGCGCAAATCTTCTTTTGTAAAAAATTAAATTGCCTCGTTAAAGTTGGCAATAGCTGATGTGCCTTGGTTCCATTCTGTTAAGCTCGGTCCAACTTGCAATGCCGTTAAAATATTTTGCTGTAAATAAATTGGCAGCCTTGCCTCGAGCCTCCATGAGCAATCCTAACTATTATTTAATTGCGACGCTATTCCCAACTCGATGACTTCCAAACCTCAGGGTGCCGCGTTTTACTCATCTAAAGGTTTCAGTCGCGCCGACGGAGAATTCAAAGCTTGATTGGACTTATTTGTCGTTCCCTTTGAGCACCTTAATGCTGTAATGAAATGTGGGTAGCAAAGCCTTGGAAGGTTTTTCTCCGTTTTCAGCCGCCAAACCTAAAATTAATTTCCTCGGGGGACTCAAAAGAAAATGAATTACAGGTCTAAAAAGGGGTTTCGTATTGAATTTTAGACAAAATCGTCCGACGCATTTCGTGATGACAGCTATTCATAGCTTTATATGGGCGGGAAAGAGAACGCAGGGGGGGAGGGAAAGCATAATTATTTTTTACTTTTACAACCATCCTTCAATAAGGTCTCCTGCAACTTTACACAACGGATAATTCCAACTTTCAAACACTAATTAATAATTTATAGGTTTTTTCACAGACTTGATGAGAAATTGACTGGATTGCACATTTACCTCGCATGATGGATCTTTGGATTTTTTTACCTCCTCAAAAACCTCGTTTGGGGCACGTGGGTGAATTGAATTCGAGCAACTATTTTAACGCTCCGGTGGTCAAATTGCATATCCAAAGAAATGAAGGAACTTTAAGTGTCGTAGAGATAAGTAGCAGAGCAGTGTAATGGACCGTTAGACTGAGAACAAATTAGAAAATGACTTGAAATGTTTCCTAATTTAGATTCCATGCAAATCAAGTGAAACAATATATTGCTAAAAACCAAAATTACCTGACAAATAACTAATCAGAGTGCACATTCACCTTAAATTTTTTTCCAAGAAAAACTGGCTCTTCCTTAAAGAAGAAAAAATTAGCTTTACTTATGCTTGGACCGTGTCCTCCATAACAAGTTCGCCTTGAGGCCGTGCCACCATCCTAAATTCTGCGATGCCATGGTTGCAAAATCGACTCGCACAATTCGAATCTTTACACGACGATGCAATTTTTGTCCAAAATTTCAGTGACTAATGCGTGAGATCAGAAAATAATTCAGCGATTTTTCCAGACAGGCACGCGCAATAAAGTTTCCTGGTGAAAGACAATTTTTGGGCGGAAGTTTTGCAACTTTGAGCAGTTCTTCTCTCTGGGAAACGACGATTTATTGAGGCCAATTTTATCTACTGCGGGGCTTGGAGGACAGGGCACATAAGTGCAGTTTTTGAAAAAATTAAATTATTGATGATTTCAGGTAAAGCTAGTCTTAATTCATATTCTGTGAATAATTCGTTCCCAAATTCAAATTTTTAAGCATCAAAAAGTCAGTTTGAACTTACTTTCCGCCGCAAGGATCCATGTAATTTCGAAACGTCTAACACGCATTCCTCGTAATAGCAAAAACTGCACTCGTGTGCCTTGTGGTTAAAAACCTCTCGTAAAATGAAACTTTTAAAGCTATTTTAAGAAATTTCAAGATTTTTATGGCACACTTCATGGTTCAAATAATATTCTTGGTCTTGATGCGACATTTTGGAACTACAAGTCTGAATCTTTGGTTAAACTTTAACAGGTACCCAGAGTATTTGTCTCATTTTAACCGTACAGGGAATAAATCTGTAACAAAAAGTGATAAAACCGGGCCTCATTAAAATTAATCGAATACATACCTTCTCTTAACGGTACCACGTAGATTTCCTTTTAGTTGATGCTTGAACTTCTGGCTCGTATTATCAAAAAAAAATATAAACGAATATCACTACGACGCACAATGGATCGAGCCACTTAGAAAGTTCGGATATAAAATTTTCGACGAAAACTACACATTTTTATGTTTATTTCGACGCATTTTAACTTTTAAGGGGTGCCTTTAGCAGAAAATTCCACAAGGAAATCAATAAAACCGCATTCAGAACTTCCAAAGTTTGTGTTTACGGAGTTACAAGCTCCTAAAGTTTCCAAATTTTGTCCAACTTCTTCTATTGACTCGATCCACTGTGTGACCTGAGAAATTTTGAAGAGGTGACAATGTAGTAGGTTAATTGACCACCGTGCTGTACATACGTAGTACTCATCGTAAACATCGCCGCATCATTACATTACCTAACACGGCGTAACCATGTAAAGTTCAAACTGGGAAGTGATCTCGAATCTCGACTCTATCCCACCTCCTCAGACCCGCGAGTGATAATCTCAAAAATAACCGACAGCCAACAAGTGAACGAAAGCCGATAAACCTGGCCGACGATAACACCGCTTGTCTGATTGTTATTACCGTAACGGAAGCCCGCATTTCGAATGTCAACAAACACACGCAGTCTTGATTTCCTCCACGCTGCGCGGTCCCTATACAACGAGGAAAAGTTAGGTTAACTGCGTATCGTGCTGTAACACGTCCTCTCTCGAAGCAAGGATCCCGAAATAACGCGGTGGTAGAAAGTTTTGCGCGGTTTCTGAAAAGGACAATTGTGTTTAAAAAGATAATAGTGCATCATTTTATTCTCTCGAGTGAAAGAAACGTGTGTTAGAGTTAAGTGAACTCGCGGAGAATGCCCGCTCTGTATAACAGGGATATTCCGTACTGTGATGACTTTTATGAGTTCGACTACATCAAATATCCCACCGAAGTGAAAACTGTGACTTTCAAGTTTTTAGTCATCGGGGACTATGGCGTTGGTAAGTTACCAAATCCTTACTCTAATTTACTTTTTAAAACTTTTGTGGCCATTCCTGACAGAAGAAAGTTTTAAGTCCATAATTTTATTCGTCAAAGGCGGGAAAAAATACGACTAAGTTCATCACAAACGCAAGGGAGGGAAATGATGGTGGTTGCCTTTAAATTTTTTCCATACAATTTGTTTAAAAAAGAGAATCAATGGCAATAAGCTACTGTGTGATGGTGTCATGAGCTAGAAGAACGGTTGGGTCTATCAAACTAAAGAATCATGCCGCCACGCATAAGATAATGACCATTAGGATTAATAAATAACCAGGGATCTGGTCATCGCAAGGTACTATTCCTTTTTGCTGTGCGAATTTCCATCGATGTGTCACCATAGAAAAATAATGATCTGAATGGATGTTCAGAGGCGTTGGTTGGTTTAGTCTACTCGAGACCTTTCAAAACATTCTATAATTTCACATCACCCTGTACAGATCACTCTTCAATTAATGCTTAAAATAAAGAAGACGAAAACTTACAACGGCGCAAAATTCTCAATATCCTCTTGGGCGTGGGCTATCAAAACGTTTTCCTCGTTACATAATCAAACGAATATGCAATGCATAAAATTATTCTCTGCAAAAAAAAAATTCTCACGAAAACTTTATCGTAGTGATAAGATTTTAAAATCACGTGTTTCTACTCGCTTGACCTCAAGACTCGTAGCGCTAAAAAGCCCGTCTTTTCAACTTACAAAATTTCTGATTGCGCAAAAATACCTATTCTGTACACATAAGAAATTTCAGCTAGCCATTTTGCATACCAAGCATTCAATGATGCATCAAAGAATAAGAAAACCAAATTGCAGTTACTTAAAAAATAATTCTTGGGTGGAAGAAATTTTAATTTTTTGACTACCTACAGAATGACAGTGAAATGTAGCTTTTGCGGAAAATGGAAACCTACCTCTTCGATATCATTGGCTTTCCTCCATTTTGTATAATTATTCTTGCATCGTCTATTCATTTGATTTTGACACATTTTGGAACATTAATGACTCAGAATTGGACGCATCAATGTCACAAAGAATTTTGTGGAAATAAATTGAATCGAAAGGAACTTGTTGCTTAGAATTTGCGCGCTAAATTTTAATTATTTTATTTTATATTCATCTGCTCATTGTTCTTTTCAGATTTAATACATCCAATTGGTACCCTAAGACGTAATTATTATTGTATACGGTCAAAATAATATCAGTTAGCTCAGGCTCTAGTAGTTCTGCGGCTTCTGTGCGGTATTTTCGATGCACTCATTTAATTTTTTTAATTTTTAGTTTTCCAATTTTGACGAAATTCTAAATTAAAAACTCTGAACAGGCTATTATTTTTTTAGAAAGCATGGACAAGATGTTTTTATCAGAAGTCGCTCATTAAAGTAATCGGCAAAATATAGAAATAGCGTTCTGATCTCGCCTTTTCACACATTAAGTCTGGTGATGTCTAACCGTGTCCGTTTTAAATTATTTTTTGTAAATTGTCGGTTTCCTCATAAAAGAACGTAACTGCAATTCAATGTTGCCAAATTTTTACGCCCGAAGTGCATTTACCGGGATTATTTTGGGAATTCTGAAGTGAAAATTTCACTGATTTTTCTTCTGATCTTAAGCAAAAATCAGACAAATTTTCAACAAAAATTATGCAGGTATATTCTCGTAAACATTTTTATTGTTTAAGTCAAGTTGGCAACCCCGGAATTGAGTTACGTTCCTTCGTGCAGGAAACGACGAAATGCCCCATCAATCTACACAATATTCACCGAAGAACCAACGATCCAGAGAAATTTCTCCAAGAGTTCACAATACGATTTTTGGTCGGTTATTCATTTTCAGAAAGCAATCTATGAGGGGAATTTTTGAAATTTCTATCTCTCGAAATGTCACTCTGTCAGGTTGCTTTAGAATTAGGTCATTGGACGTAAGATCTAAGAGACCAAAATAACAGGAGTGGAGAAGAAAACAGTTCTACGGTAACCGTTTACTATCAGCTAGGCGTGACGTCACAATGAGAGTGTATACAGTCGCACATAGTGAAAGTGCGTAATCAAATGTGTCCGGATGATTCCCGGTATTATTTTTAGCTCCGATCTTTCCAGGTTGTGATCTCAAATCTTGTTGACTTAATCAACATGGATACATCTAGAAAATTTCTTCCTCCTCTTCCAATGCTTCAGGGTTCATTTATATTAAAACACAATAAGAAAACAGTAAAAAGGTACCCCGGTTGTGAGGTATTCATTCCCACCTTTCTTAGTTTTATTTCAACCTGAGGGCTAAGGGCTGAGAAAGTAGTTTATATTCGACTTCTGTTATCACCAGAATTATCTCATAATGATGGGAGCAAAGTTCTCTCAGAGTATAGACTGATCAGTCAACGTTGCCTTTTAAATCATTGATCTCTTTTCTCGACTATCGATTGGAAAAAAATACGATCAGATTTGCCGAACTGCCCGGGAATCGTATGGACAGGATTAAAGCTCCTTGCCTGACTTATATGCTTGGATTTTTTCCCAATTTATTTGTTTCTCTTTTTAATTTGTTTTTACTGGTTTTATCATATACATAGATGCTTCTACTATGAATGAATCGGGCATTGAATGAATTATTAATGAATTGATAAATTCGTCTGTTTGAAGAGGCACCCGAACAGGATTGCTCATTGATACTTTCATAAACAAGATAATTTCAATCTGTAACGTATTTAAAAGAATGCTCGTAACAAGATTAGAATCATAGCGAGGAAGGATCGATGGACTCGAGGTTTATGAAGTAGAAAAATGGAAGAGAAATTAAATTTGAATGAATGAGTGGACGAATGAATCCATGAATGAATGATAGAATAAATGAATGGATGGATGGATGGCGGATGGCCCTTATGAATTAATGGAGCTTTCGGTAAATTCAGTGGAATTTCTCTGTATAATTAGACACCCCAGCGATCACATAGATTACACAAAGAATTCGAGTTTTATTCAATTGCAAAATTGAATAGAAAAATAATTAAATTATTAGATAAATAATTGGAGACTTAGGTGAAGTTGGAATATCTTTATGTATTTTGAGTGGGTAGCAGCTTTATTGCGTCTATACTCTAAAGCTTGCACTTCAATCCGACTATTTGATCTTCCCCCTTAAGTTGCAATACACAATCAGTGCATGTTCAGGTATCACTTTGTCCAGTTCGCACGCATTGCCGTCGGCGAGGAACTTTAGGCTCCTTCATTTGTGTCCATATGCAACACGGACAAGCGTTGAGCAGCAATAGTTGCATCTCGGCGTTATATCACTGTCATGACCGTCAGCTGATGTTTGTGATGAAAGTTTCCAATATTTCTATATTAAACGAGATCTTCTGATAGAACATACTTATTTCGGACTTAATACACCGTTAGAGGCCCTGCACAATATTGGTTATGTATTTTCAATATGCAAAAACCCTCATACTCAAAATATACCTTTTAAATTGCGGGAATCAGTTATCAAATTTAAGTTCTCTGAACTGATAACTGAAACTACAGTCACAGCGGCCAATTTAGACATGGGACACATGAATCTCAACCCACGATGGCAAAATTACTTACATGAGAAGATAAATTTCAAATGAATAATAACTTTCTTTTCTTAATTTTTTCTCGTAATATTTTCAAAATCGTCACGCCGCAGAGGAAAACTCTTGAATAAAATTAAGCCAAAGCATAAAAACAAGAAAAGAAAGAACAAGGGGAAAAATAGGAGTGACGAATTTTTCTCGGCCCCCTACTCTCAGTGAATTAAATCAGAGTGATTTGAGTCTATGCTGATGCAGATCAGAGGAGACAGAAAGTAAGAAAGAAGAGGGTGAGAGAGGAACACACCACCCTCCACAAGATGGCAACCAACCACTGATAGATATCTTAAAAGCGTTCAAGCTCATAGGTTCCGCATCTTTCCATTCCATTTCTGACCGGCTCAGTTTTGTATAACGCACTAAAAACGCAAATTCGAGGCCTACCTCGAAGCTAAGCGGAGATCTTCCCCACAATTTCATCGATTTTCCGACTAAAGGCAGCCAATAAATCGCTGCAACTAAAAAAAATCACAATTTTTAAACTTAGATCATTACGTAGTTGGAGATCCAAGATTCAATGCCAGAACGTTACGCCATTTTTGTTTTTACGTGTAAATAAATAGACAGACACCTACGTCACAAAAGTGTTACAGGCGGCCTGGGGCGTCAAAAATGCCGAAAAAGTGCGTTACGTAATGGATGTGGGGGGGGGGGGGGGGGTCAAAAATGCCAAAAAAGTGCGTAATGTAATTTATTAACCCTCCCTTAAGCGAAGTACGTGCTCCTAGAACGCTCCCTGCTTTCAAAACCCTCCCTCAGGGCTCTGACCGAGGATTTTGGCAGGAGGTGGACCATTTCAGGAACTCCAACAAGCGTGTCAAACCGCCGACCCGATGTCAAAGGCCGCATTTTATTAGTTCTCGGAATAGCCGCGTGACGCGCTGCCTGCCCCTACCCCTATCCTACTGCGACCACCATCGCCACTCCAGAGTAAATATTTATGACCGTCCCCTCCTTCCCCCTCCTACGGTGTTCATCGCCAAAAGCACTGTTCGCGGAATCTTCAAGAGTGAGAAGTTGACCAAGTTGGAGAGGTATTTCGTCTTGGAACGCTGGCGGCTGTAACGAGCTCCTCTGCCTCAGATACCTCCTACTCACTCTACCCCTTGCGAAGTTCCCACGGAGGGACGTGAACAACGAACTTTCGCCGGGGAACCGATCAATCCTGTGTAATTAGGTTGTCTGCCCGCGGGTCGAACTAATCCTCGTTTTTAATTCCGCCGTCGATTCGGTATAATGGGTCTTCTAATGTTCTTTCTTTCTTGCGATTATTCTGCCTCTGTCAAGTCGTAGCGAGAAAGTTTGCGAGGGGCTCCTGTTTTTGGGGGCTTGGAGTCTACCCTTTCAGATTTTCTCGCCTGAAAATGATTCGACACTATGTAAATCGTGATACCTCACGAAACACCGCTCTAGCTTTGAATTTTTGAGGGTATTACACAAAACGAAACACTTTTGAGCAGGGTATCTTCATCGAAGAGAAAAGAAGATCAGCAATTTGAATCGGCACCCGCTACTTTTACGAGTCGCCTTTGATTGGTTGATCCGCCCTAGTGCCCACTTTCTGAGGCCCTTATGGAAAATAACTTTCTCTAACTGACACCAAACGTCATGTTTCAAGTTGATGAAAAAAAATTCAAGGTCAAAATGTTCGGTGTGTTTGAGAAAAAAGTGTAATCTATTAACCATGAAACTCCTCAGAAAAATCTGGAGAATTGATCTCTGAAATCTCCGACGTATAAATTTTTCCTTGTTTTCAAAATATTTTCGATGAAATATGAACTCCGTGCTATTTTTCATAAGGGCTCCAGAAATGTTGCACCAGGCGAATCAGTCAATGTTACAATAGAAACATTGTAAACAAAACTTTGAGACTAAAGTTGGAGCCTTAATTCACCACAAGCTATGATCTCTCTCTCCCTGCAGGTATTTTACGAGTATACCATACCACGCTTCATAAAATAAAATATTGTTTATTTTTGATTTCAGGAAAAACAGCAATTGTTAGGAGATATGCTGAAGGTGAGTGCTGCTTTTGATAATGTCTTTATGCCAGAAAAATTTATATTAATTCAAAAGCACCGAGGAAAATGGATACCTTCCATTCTCCCCGATCGAAAACGCACAATACCAACTGAGACATTGATTTAAGGAACCCTGGTAAAAATTGGTGAGAGGAGCTGTGTTTCAAAATACCATAGGAATTTTTGTAGAAGGCTGAAGAAGGCTACAGAAAATCAGATAGCTGGCTGTAGAATTCGGAGAAAATTATGCAGCCGGGCTATAGTTCCTATCGCCGGGCTTCACACTCTATCGCCTGGCTATTGCTTTTTCGCCATCGATTATAAAAGGCTATAAGAAATTGTGTGGAAATTCTTGTGCTTTGGAAATCATTAAGTTTGATACGGAAACACCTTAATATTTACAAAACACACGTTATATTTTCCTTTAATACATATTTTTTTCCTCAATTAAAACGAGAATAATCCATACAGAATGTGCAAACATTTCAAAATCATGAGTTGAATAACACTGACTCCGCGAGATTAAATATTAGAGCCTAACACAAAGCGGAGCGGCGACGCACTGGCTGCCCGCCTGCCGCACCGCAGCGTGCCGCGGCGCTTGAAGCAACTATTTCACATTAGAGGTATTGCACAGTATCATACGAAACTGAGGGCGCTCTAATATATTAAGAATGGCAGGCATCCATCAAAAGTACGGAGCTTTCCTCGCAAAATAAATCAAGATACTACGGCCCAAAAAGACAGCAGTGGTCCAAAAACTCACCAAGTCCTAGCATCCGTAATTAGTAACGTTTGGCATACACTTTATCGCCTGGCTGTTGCTTAGTCGGCTATAAAAGGCTAGAAATTGTGTAGCCGGCTATAGAAGCCATTGCAAATCTTACAGCCGGCTGGGGGTCTATAGTATTTTGGAACACAGATTCCACTGCCAATTTTTACCAGGGAGGGACTGGAGCTGTGATTTTAAGGAATGCAATCAATTTCCACTAGATGGCACAAATACAAAACCTTTAACATTTCAACAATTATTTTGAATAATGACTTTAAAACTGGGAAAAACATATTTTCTACAAATATCAAAGTAGCTTTACGCATACATTGTAAGGTTGTTTTTTTTCTAAAAACAAACGTCGTTCAAACTGTCGCATTTTAAAAAAATATCTCCCCGATAAGGAATGTTTATAAATACATAATTCAACAACGTAACTGATAATAGCCAGAGGGTTATCCGAGAGCACGATTGAGTTCAAAATCGAATTACTTCCACCGAATAAAATTGTTGGTTTTATCGATATTTATTGGACGCCTCTGCCGGTAACTGACGTAAGCCGCGGTTCATTTTTTCCTACTTGGCTCCAATTATTGCTGCTGTTTTGCACTTTTTTTTTCTTGTTTCGTTATTTGATGCCAGTTCTGATGATTCATTTGATGCCGGCCCGGGACGGTAGGATCGCCGGAGGAATTGTCCCATCCTGATAGTGACCTACTTTCTCCAACGCTCATTGCCATCGTGTCGATGCTATGCATTCATTGGATACCCCTTCAAAACGTATGAATGCAACAAAGAGTACACCAAATGTATATGTGGCCATCACACACAATGAACCAAATTCATGGATGTTCTTTAAACAGCTCTTTTCATTTGGGACAACCCATTTTTTCAGATTGTGAATTAGCTAGGTATTAGGACGCCCTTAAAAAAGTAGTATACAGAATTAGAGGAAGAACAGTTTTTACAAAACTTCATTAAAATTCAATAGTTTAACTATGAAAATAGATTCTTCAATGATTTTTCACTGCAAACAATATAAAGTACGAAAGAAAAGATTCTTTGACTTTGATGAACTTTAAGGTAGGTAGGGATCCACCCAACGTTGTTGGTAAAACCCTTCATTTGTATATTTCATGATAATTTTCCTGGATTCCTTCCAGAGCCCAAAGATCACACAACACAAATGTGCAGCTAGACTGATTATAGTTTTGCGCAAGATTAAATTACATTTTCCATCGTGCTTGCTGCCGACTCATCTCTCCTTAATTTTTGCAAGATTGGAGTAACTTTGTGGGAATATTGCAATCCAAGTTTACGGCAAGATTGCATGGAAATGCACGGCAGATTCCCATAATGCAATCTTGCAGCAACCCCACTGACTACCGACTGGAAGGGAGTGTATAACATTTATTTGCAGTTGCCATTGTGTTTGTTTACCTACACTCTACGGCAGCAATAGCTCCACGAAGGCCTATTTTGTGCGAACAATAAAAAAGTAGCGCATACAAATGGACCACGTTTAGCAGAAAGGAACCAAGCCAAATCAGCTTTTGTCAAAAACTGGGAAAATTCATTTTTTGTAGAAGAACGTATGTGCGGATTCCTTTGAAAATTTGAATAAAGTTGCTTCGTACTATGCAGAAAATTCACTGAAATTTGCACAAAAATCCGCACAACCGTTTTTATGTAAAAAATTAAATTGCCCAATTTTTGGCAATAGCTGATGTGGCTTGGTTCCTTCCTGCTTAACGCGGTCCAAATAGCCGTTCTCTACGAATGTCGCATGCTCTCATAGCTGGGCGATCGAGTCAACCCTTGAGTATATGTATATTTACCCTGCGCCTTGATTTTGGAAAAGAAAGTATCGCTACAGCACAATTGAATGACCTTGGGTATCGATTGATCGACATGAACATAATCGCTCAAATAGGGATCTTTCGGTCGAGGTCATCCGAAAGTCGACCCGAATGTGTTGGCCTCGTATGAAAAGTTGCATTTAACGAGAACGCGGTTCTGCACTCGCGGCATCTTTGTGGGGTTCCGCGGGCCGGCGCCCTCCGGAATTTCAAGAGTCGGAAGAAAAATGTTTTGATAAAGTGTTGCGGGCGCCGCACAAAAGGGCGTCGTTAAAACGCCGCCGCCGCTGCCGCCGTAACGGGCCGCGTTTCCATCAATTCGCGTCAGCGCTCGGGGCGGGACCCCCCCCCCCCGGCTCTGCACCCTCCTCCCTCCCATTTTACCCCACCAACCGGGGGATGTAGCCGGAGCCAGTATATTCGCTAACTACACTTCCGAGGAAACGGCTCTTGATACTGATAATGAATCTGATTTTTCTCGGCGTGGCGTGGCTGCGAGAGAGCAGATGCTCTGAAATATATAGTGCTTCACGAAAGTTTCTACACGGCGAAATTTATTATTTATTACCGAGTATTAAAAGACTGTGGCTTAGTTTTGAAGTCGTATCGCATGATGAAGTTATAATTGGACCGCGTTCAGCAGAAAGGAGCCAAGCCGCATGAGCTATTGCCAACTTAAATTGGGCAACATACATTTTTACAGAAAAACGGACGTGCGGATTTTTGTGTAAATTTCAGTAACATTTTCAATTTAGTGCGAAGTAAATGCCTTAAAATTTTCAAAGGAATCCGCACATACGTTCTCTTGTAAAAATTTGAGGTGTCAAGGCAAATTTGGCAAAAGCTGATAAGGCTTGGTTCCTTCCTGCTAAACGCGGCCCAAAAGTCTCCTCCTGGTTTAAGAAATTTTAGCCATTTGATTATCGTCTTGTCCGTGAAATTTCAAAAATAAGCAATTCTATTACTTTTTGTAAACCTAAAGGATAACGTGACGATAGCTACAGTACAGAATGCAAATCTCTATTGCGATGATTTTCGCTCCTGTTTTGTTTTTTCCAAGAAAAACAAAGTACCTGCAACCTTGAAATGTCTACGAATAGTCTGCTAACAGGGACTAAAAATCAAGGAAGTTCTCAAGAAAAGAAACCTGCTAGTTTTCTGATGACAAAATAAAGTCTGATAAATGGTCTGAGATGTCGCAAACGGAGATACATAGTTTTGTACTTTGGCCATCAATGGAATGACCAAATCGTGGCCGAGTGACCAGTCAATGAGCAAAAAATAATTGAGATGAGGAAATTTAGCTGGAGTGATCCTAGAAACGGCTAGTATCGATACCACTCCATTTTTCGACAATTTTGTGGTCAATTAAATATTATACTGGAAAAAAATTCGCTTGCATCTAGAGGGCAGACTCTTAATAACATTGACAAGGAAAAATACTTTTGATTCAATCAGATTTTTTCTTGAATCGAAGAGCCGAGATTTAGGCGGATTTCTTTTTGATTGAAGCAAAAAGTCCGATTGAATCAAGAGGTTTTTTTTCCTGTCAATGTTTTTAAGAGTCTGGGCTCTAGATCCAAGCGACTTCTTGTTCCAGTGCATAGAATATCTGCAGATTCCAAGGGAAAATATTCGTAATTTTCCTCAAAAATACACTTCGAGAAAATCGAGTAACTTCCGAATGTTGACACGGCGTTCTTCCTCAGCACGGCAGTATTATTGAACTCTCGTCAATTTTCCAATCGGAAATCGAGCAACCCTGTTCGCGTCTCTTCCTTTAATAACCCCAGCGCCAGCATAGCCGCGCTCAGGTTTCAATCGGTGAAATTCTCGGAAAGAACCAGCACTCCTGTCTGTGATGCCGGCAAATTTGTTTTCGCATAAATCAATACGGATACAGAATATAGCTGTTCCAGCGGCGTGGCGTACTTTACGATGAATCGATTGATCCTCCATTTAAACCTATGGGAAAGGATCGATAAACGAGTTGTTCGCAACGAACACCTTAATAATCGATTCTTTACCACAGCGTCAAATGAGGGAACATCGATAATCGATCATTCACACTGCTCCTTCCTCGGCTCTCCAGATTCTCTTGACACGCGCTGCCCCTGAAAAGGACGGGACGCAACTTAATTGCACGCATGCATCTATTCATATGTTCTTGGTTGCATGTCCTTTCAATGAAGTCCGATTTATAGTTCATACGTGCATGAGTAAAATGCATTCATTAAGATCCTCGTCTTCATTTAAGCACAGTGTATGAGGCATGATAGTAAAAGGACACTAAATCAACTGTGCTAATTAGTCCAGGCGCCTGGTAGCTAAAAATGAGGCTACCTGGAATTTTGGGTACACAGCGATTTTTTTGGCTTACTTTATGTTTTTTGGGTCGCTGAATCCGAATCTGAAGTTTCCGCACGCGTATCTGGTGAGCATTTTCCGCTATTTTGAAAAAATGGCCTAAAAAGGCCTTTTTTTGCGGTTTTTTTGATATAGCGGCTACGGATGAGGAAAAGTCCCGGATTTAGCTAATGTTTTGAATAGCTGACAAAATTTGGAAGAAAATGGTATATGAATATGCTAGGTTTGCTCAAAAATTGAGGAACCTCGGATTTCGGAACTTTAGAACGCTTCGGAACTTGGCTGACCGCGGCGAGCCGGATCGCGCGTTGACGGGTGCGCCGCGAAAACGTGAATAGGCGCGATGTTCACGATGCTGTGTCTTCCTCAATTTTTAAGCAAACCTAACATATGTATACACCATTTTCTTCCAAATTATGTCAGCTATTCAAAACATTAGCTAAACCCGGGACTTTTCCTCATCCGTAGCCGCTATATCAAAAAAACCGCAAAAAAAGGCCTTTTTAGGCCATTTTTTCAAAATAGCGGAAAATGCTCACCAGATACGCGTGCGGAAACTTCAGATTCGGATTCAGCGACCCAAAAAACATAAAGTAGGCCAAAAAAATTGCTGTGTACCCAAAATTCCAGGTAGACTTACCAGGCGCCTGGACTAAATTAGTATTCAGAACAACCGAGATAGTTTATTATAGGAGCAAACCTACATTAAAGAGGTGTGTGAAAAAACGGCCAAAAATGCCTCAAGGCATTTTCGAATTTTGATCACTTGGGGTGATACAGTAGCTTCCGAGACGCCCAAAACGGGTCGCCGTTTTGCTTAGAAGCGCCGGGTTGCGACGTTGCCATTTTTTAAAGTGGAAACCTTTAACAATTCATATCTCCGCCGCATCTCAACCGATTTCAATGAACTTTTTTTTAAAATGTTCCTCTTAAATAGAGCTTTCTAGTGATGTATTGTTTTCTGGGGTTTATTTGGCTTTAAGTGGCACTTACGCGGTTTTAGCAGTTTTTGATAGACACAAAAATTTAGTTTTTATTTTCCCACGATCGTGGAATCGACGGAATCTAAACAAAAACCAGTCTAAATGAAAGTTCAGATGCTCACCTTTCTAACGAGCACAAGATCATCCCGGGAAAACGTTTAGTTTCCGAGATATGACCGCTCAAAGTTGGTCACATGCGCTTTTGCGCAATGTGAATGCGTCTTATCACTGAGTCATTCGCGAACTAGGGGTCCCTAATGTTCAATTTACGTTAAAATAATTACACAGAACAGTAAGGTGTACAACACGAGCCGTATTTTCACCTTCGGCTGCCGATGTGCGACGTTGCCATTTTTTGAAGTGAAAACTCTTAAAAATGCATAACTCCGCTGCATTTCAACCGATTTCAATGAACTTTTTTTTAAAATTTTCCTCTTAAATAGAGCTATCTAATGGCATTTAGGTTTCTGGATTTTATTTAACTTGGGGAGGCACTTAGGTCGTTTATATGATTCTTTGCAGAGATTTTTCATACAAAAAATAGTGTTGCTATTTTTTTTCTTTCTTTTTTTCTTTTTTTTCCCGCGGGTTGTGGGAGGGTTTGAAATGGCAAAATTTAAAAGAAAGAACTTTTAAAAAAGGGATTCTTTTAATCACTATTCTAACGTGTACAAATATTGAAAGCGACGCTCTCATTGTACAAGAGAAGGTGGTGTTGCTAATTTACCAAGATTTTTGCATTGTACTTTAAGCGATGGTGATTTTCCGATCTAGTTTGAATGTTAAAAAGAATCGGGGGAAATACAGACCCCCTTCCGAAAAAAAAGAAAAAAAGAAAGAAAAAACACTATTTTTTGTATGAAAAATCTCTGCAAAGAATCATATAAACGACCTAAGTGCCTCCCCAAGTTAAATAAAATCCAGAAACCTAAATGCCATTAGAAAGCTCTATTTAAGAGGAAAATGTAAAAAAAAAGTTCATTGAAATCGGTTGAAGTGCAGCGGAGTTATGCATTTTTAAGAGTTTTCACTTCAAAAAATGGCAACGTCGCACATCGGCAGCCGAAGGTGAAAATACGGCTCGTGTTGTACACCTTACTGTTCTGTGTAATTATTTTAACGTAAATTGAACATTAGGGACCCCTAGTTCGCGAATGACTCAGTGATAAGACGCATTCACATTGCGCAAAAGCGCATGTGACCAACTTTGAGCGGTCATATCTCGGAAACTAAACGTTTCCCCGGGATGATCTTGTGCTCGTTAGAAAGGTGAGCATCTGAACTTTCATTTAGACTGGTTTTTGTTTAGATTCCGTCGATTCCACGATCGTGGGAAAATAAAAACTAAATTTTTGTGTCTATCAAAAACTGCTAAAACCGCGTAAGTGCCACTTAAAGCCAAATAAACCCCAGAAAACAATACATCACTAGAAAGCTCTATTTAAGAGGAACATTTTAAAAAAAAGTTCATTGAAATCGGTTGAGATGCGGCGGAGATATGAATTGTTAAAGGTTTCCACTTTAAAAAATGGCAACGTCGCAACCCGGCGCTTCTAAGCAAAACGGCGACCCGTTTTGGGCGTCTCAGAAGCTACTGTATCACCCCCAAGTGATCAAAATTCGAAAATGCCTTGAGGCATTTTTGGCCGTTTTTTCACACACCTCTTTACAACACTGAATATCCTCCTACTGGATGGTCGATGTTCTTTTAAAGTGACTTCGAGCTTTTAGATTCACAGAGCTTGTTTTTTTAAGCTTTCCTGAATTATAGTGCGTACAATATTTTTATGTAAGTTTAATGACGCATGGTTTAATTTTTTTTTCAGGCAGATTTTGTTCAAATTATAAGGTGACGATTGGAGCCGACTTTGCTGTCAAATCTGTAATGCGAGATAAGGATGTCAAAGTCAACTTACAACTCTGGTAAGCACTGAAACAGACTTTCATTGCGAAGGGACTAGTTACCTACGGCTAAAGTTTCAATTTAATACATACAGATGCTGAGATATATTATCTCAGACAATTTATATAAAATGACAATATAAAATTCAATTGAAATAACCTTTGTGACTTAGGTTCAAAATATTATGGTATCAGAATGTCTTGTATTTTCGTCCGATTGCTATGAGAATGGCCGAGTGGTCGGCTGGAGCGCTTCGAGTTTAACACAGTTTATTACAGTCTTGTTTTCCGCTTTCTATTATATTCTATCTAATATTGTTTATGAGTTACTGACTGACCAAATTTTTTATTCCTGAGAACGAGAGATGTAGAACCGAAGAGAATGGTTCAAAAGACCTTTCAACACTCTCCTGTTTATCGGAGCATAAAATCTCGCTGTCGATTCGTTTAACACATTGCTCGAGGCGCATATAGCTGCTCCGGCCCAGCGAAAATAGCCTAAACGCCTTCAAATTGTCGTGTATGCAACATGGACATCCATCAAGCTCGAATAGTTGTATCCAGGCGTTTTTATGAGCGATCAGTACCTGTTAGCTGCGATAATTGAAGGCGCCTCGCCATTCTATTTCTAAATTCTACGGTCCAATTATTGAGATTTTGCCTATTGTTGACTGAACCAGACAACTGTAAAACAGAGTGGTAATATAATCGTTTCCCTCACGAGAGAACGTAACTATATTTCAATGTTGCAAAATTTCCCTGCATTGTTGCATTTTTACTAGGAGAATCTTTTACATTTCTGACTGAGAATTACACCGATTTCTCTTCTGATCTCATGCAAAAATCAGAAAAATTATTTAGAGGGAAATTACATGGATACATTCTTGTAAAAAATTAAATTGTTTAAGTACATACATACATACATACATACATAAAGCCGCTTTTATAGCGCCGCCTCGCGCTCTGCGCCGCCCAATCGCCATTGCCCCCTATCCTCCCAGAGATCATCAGGCAATTGGCAAATTATTTAAGTCAGTTTTGCAATTTCGGAATAGTGTTACGTTCCCCCGTGCGGAAACAACGATATGTGATTGGTCCGTTTTGTCGGTAATTTTTTTTTGTCGTGTTTATATCGGGTGAAATCAACAACAAAATTTCGGCAATTTCAACGGTTTCACACAGGCAGTTAGTTTGTCATTCATTCCACCCGACACCGAAAAGAGCAGTTATTTCAAGGATAAAGCTTTGAGAAAATTTACCGCAATGTGTTTCAGCGAAATGTTTTATGGAACAAATCTTTCAGTCTTCGTAAAATTTCCCATAATTATCTAATAACCTCTCGCTAAAAATAAACGCACCGTGCGGGAAGGAGTTACAGTTTCTTGCGGTTCTCTAAAAGTTGGAAAAAGTGCTCTTTTGATCCTACATCTTCGCCTCTCTGACATAAGAACGTATCCCACTTTCCACATGAGTCTTTTTGTCCATATAACCCCAGGCCTCTCGGGGCTCCCTTGGAAATTGAGATGCACCCTTGCGTCAGAGGAGCGACGACCTGCTTCAATTTAAAGACGGCCCTTTAGATGATTATAAACTGAAAGAAACCTGGAAAACTTCGCAACTCTCGAGGGCGCTTGTGATGCTTTTCTGGGGAGGCGAAGTTATTTTTTTTCCAACTTACAGAGGTTCCTGTGCCTCGCTAGGAAAGACCCCCGAGCTCTCGAAGAACAGAGGCTCGCGAGTTAAAAGGTCTCGAGTTTAGGTTCCAATATAAACGGTTGTCAAAGTAATAACCTACCTGCCGCGACACACAATTGCGAAACTTCACCAGAAAATGTTTTTTTCTCCGAAAAATCAATCGCGTTTCCCTCGAATTTTTGGGATCCAGAAGATTTCGCCCTCTCTCGGAAAAAATTTCGCAAGCACCATTCAAGAGTAGTAATTCCCTATTTGTTTTTTTATTCATTTTTTATTAGTTTTGCTACTCTCCAACATTTTCTGTGTGGTCGATATTCGGGATCGGAAGAGATACAGCATGAGCAAGCTCATTTTGATACCACTCTCGTGGGGTGGACACCTACAACACCCCCCCCAAAAAAAAAAAAATATTAGATGAAATTCAAAACCTATAGAATCTTAGTTTTATGTCAAGAATTTTTAAGTCTGGGTAACTTAATTCTCGTCAAATGCTAGTGATAACAATTTCAAAAGATTAGCAACACTGGATAGTTTTTGCTAGATTTTGGCTTTAGACTCTAGATTTTTGCTTGAGTCCTAGATTGCTAAAATTCTCAAATTTTTTTCCATTTCTCATAGAAAAACTGATTAACAGAATCATAAGAACATTTTCTCAAATATTTGTTCGTCAACGAGATTAATCTCTGATTTTCATGAAAGTGTGTGCAAAACTTTCAAATAAAAAATTAAAATAATTCCGATTCATCTGGCGACAAAGTGTCGAGGCTCAAATGGCATGAATTTGCGATATTATTCTTGGAAAGGGAAAATTGGAAGTAGCTTCGCTGTTGAAATGGCGTAACTGCAATTTGAAATAAACGTCGCCGCTTGTATAACTTCATGCTTTCTAAACATCAAGTGAGAATAAAATTACGTCATTTTTCGATCAAATTTATCGCATTTAGCAGAAAGGGACCAATGCGATTGCAGGGTTTTCAAAATCGAGAAACCTTTTTCTTTGCTTTAGAAAATATTGAATTCGATACGTGCTCAGTAATAAAATTTACATGATTTCACAATTGTTAAAATCAGCAAATTTTTGTTAGAGAAACAATGACTCTTCACTTTTCTGCCGTGCTAAGGAAGAACGTCGTATGAACATTCGAGAGTTGCCAAATGTCCTTCTATAAAATGTATATTTCTGAAGAAAGTTGTGAATATTCTTCCTTGAAATTTTCAGGAACTTCACGTGAAATTGCGAACAAAATTATCTGGAAAATAGAGGGGAAAATATTCAAAAGTTTACCAGGAAATTCATACTTTATCAAAGGAAATTAGGCACCACCTGAAGGTTCATAAGGCGTTTTTCCTTAGCACGGCAGTATTCTTTCAGATAAAGATGGAGATGCACGATTTTTACAACAATGTATTTGCGTTCGTTCCCCTCTGCTACATTCGATCCAATATCGTCGCTCCACTGATGTAATAACACAACTGCAATTTGAGATGAGCCTCGTCGTCCGTTTAACTCCGTGCTTTTTAGAGTCAGCGCGAAAGTGGAGTTACGTCCTTCTGTCAAGGGAGGGACATAGACAGGTCGTCGAGCCGAGACGAGAACAGCCTCTTGAGGGAGCAGAAACCAATCCGTCCGTTTTTGTTTGGATTCGATATTCGTTCAGACGTATTCTTATTGAAATTCATACTGAAAAGCTCCTCTTCTCGTCCCCGGATGTTTTTTCTACGTTTCAGCACCGCTCTCGAACCGAATGGCATTATGCGTGTGTGAAATAATATGCGCTGAATATGAAATTACCTCGGAAATATCTTCGAAGCGATCGTGCCGAAACCCCGTATGTGTACCCAGACGTTTCTTCGTGTCTGCTGATAATAACACGAGGTTTCTGCATAATGCATGTATAATTTTCTTCGAATTTTTCAGAGAATTTTATTCGCGGTCTGATCTAATGTGTCTGAAAATTTCAATGAGAATTGCCCATGGCTTTTCTCATAAATGAATATTTTGTCGCAGAAAATTTGGCAACCGTTGAATTTTCATACACTGTTTTTCCCAGGCATTGCGAAGTTACTCCATGGAATCGACAAACTATCAATCGGGTTTAGAGCCAATGGTGTTTGTTTCGTCGATATTTTCCGATCTGAGGGTGTTTATTTAAATATTGGTTTTATCTCTTCAATTTAAGTGAATTGTCTGAATGTATCGAAAAAATATTGTTGCATAAAATCAGCTAATATAACTCGCAAATTTTTACAAGATATTTTTTCTGTTCCGCTTTTTTCTATTATAACGTTCAATGGTAACAGCAACCGTTAAGGGCAACAGTAGTCGTCAGGGGCACAGTGAACGTTAATCGCAAGAATGTGATCGTTGAGGGCAGCATAAGTTGTTTCAGCCAAAAACGGTCGTTAAGAACAACAGTGGTCATTAAATCCTTAAAATCTACTCAAATAATTATCTTTTTCACACAAAAATGACAGCGCAATTTTTGTCGGAAATCCCTCTGGTTTTTTTACAGTTAACCGTGAAAAGAATCTGTGTTTTCAGAAAAAATATTTAGTCCTCAGAGCAAAGATAAATATTCAAACTGGAAATTTTGCAACTTTGGAATGTGGTTCCGTTCTTTTGCCTGGCAAACAACTATAATAGACCGATTAGTCTCATTGATTTCGGAAATAGAAATTCAAACACGTTTTGTAAAAACTAATGTAGATATACATTTAAAATTGAAAGCTTCATTAGCCTCGGTAGCATAACTTCTCTTCTAACTTCTGAATAGGGTCGAAACCGTGTTTTTGAGCCTAAATGTATTAAAATCAATCGTTTTGAAATGCTCGATTTATAGGGTACTGTGTTGAACGTGAGTTGGCGTACTCAAAAATAGCCTGGAAAAAAACAAAACATAGAAACAACTAAAGTGCAAAATAGGCAAATCGTTTAGACCGGCTCAGGTCGATCAGAATGTTTTATATCTACAGCAACAGCGCAACGTAGAAACCTGTCAGAGTCTCAAGAGTGCAGTGAGTCAGTGAGTCACCACTCAACTTTTATTAGAGGTGCTCCCGGGTCTCAAAATTGGTTTCCTCTCCCTTAAATCGCTTTAAATTGTACCACCGTGGTTTTTTTTCTGCCTCTCTCCCTCTCTCCTTCTCTCTTTCCCCGCCTCTCTCTCTCTCTCTCTCTACCCGCCCTTTCGGTCCGCTTTTCATAAAGCACTTTGCAATTGCAAAAGATGATCGACTATAACTGCGTATTCGAAATATGCCTCAGTTGACAGAGGACGCTCTAGATTGTTGCGTGGAGATTTGATTAATACGATAAAAAATATTTCAAAACGATCAATAAACTTTCGTTGTTAAAAAAAGGAAGAAAAAAACTCTGCGAAATACATCAATTTCCTAACGCAACGATTTTATTCCTTAGCACAACAAGGTAACGCCAAGGAAACGGTTTTCTTTGATTTGATGAGTCCGGATTTTCTTGTGTGTATCCAGCACAGAGGAAACAGTTTACGAACGCAAAAACTTTCAAAAATAGTTTCACCGAAGTAAGGAAACCTTGTAAGGGAAAAGCTTGTTGGATACGCCCTGGTAAAAAATGTATGTCTTATATTTTCAGGGACATAGCTGGCCAGGAGAGGTACGGCTTCATGACAAGGGTTTACTACAAACACGCGTAAGTATTCATTGTTTACTTTGTACTCCATACCGATGGTGAAACTGTAGCAATGCGTTTCTCGATTAGCGGCGTTGCACACTTCCTGTCATACTTTATTTCAACATGGAAAACTACTAAACGTCATTTTTTTAAAACTTCACTGATTTTTTTTTTCTCTAAGAGAGGAGGTGAATTTTTTTTCCCTCAATGAAAAGTTTGAGCTATAGTGTTGGTGTGGTCTCAATTTTGGAAAATGAAATACGAGCGAAGATTTTGAAACACCGCAACCGGCAAACACACTTTTGCAGTCGATATTTAGTTCGCAATAAAATCCGGAACTTCATACGGAGACTCAGGACTCAATTTGAATTTCGAACTTTAGTTTGTCTTTCTTATAAACTGCTCAACAATTTTCCTTGCCTCCATTTTCTTCATTAACGGTTTCAGGACATTTTGTCAACGATTTTTTGTCCGCGCACCTTTATTGTCCAGTAGTTTACGCCCGCACGTAAAATAAGCAACAGTGACTTGGTCCAAGCGTTTTATTTTAGTCGGTATATGTAAAATTATATTGACAATATGGAAATGAGAAATTGAGAGAGAAGGAGGTGTTGTTATGGTTGCTCATTTTCTAAATGAAATGGTATTACTTTCTCCTTTTGAATCATCTTTTTAAATTGTCATTGGTGAATATTTGGTTTTATTTCTATCCTTAAAATATTGAATGTACAATATACCTTATATATGTATAGGATATAATAACTAATTAACTAAGTAACTAACAATTTTTTTTTATTTTTTTATTTTTTCTTTACGAAATTATTACTTCATTTTGAAAACATTTATATTTTTAAAACGTGACAAATATTTGTAAAACCTTTTCCAAGCGACATTAATCTCAATGAGCCGCAGTTGTGCCGACAGAAACTGCAAAAATGAATAGAAGAGGGAAAAAACCAAGAAGAACGCAATCTTTAGTTTTAACCCATTTGTACATCGATCTTTTAGAGTCAAATACGTCAAATTTTGAGCGTTTCGTTGCGCGTACACCTCACTGCAGCACAATAAAAGCACAAAATGTAAAAGAAAAAAGGAAACCCCTTTGGAAATAATTAAATTTGACACGGAACCACCAATATTTAAAAAAACACACATTATATTATTATTCTCCTTTCATAGATTGATACATATATTTTTCCCATCAATTTCAATGAAAATAATCAATATAATCAATAATATAATGAAAATAATCAATATATATATAATAATCAATGCAGAATGTGCTAACATTTCAAAACCATGAGTTAAAAAACGCTGACTATGCGAGTATAAATATTAAAGCCAAACAAAGCGGAGCGGCGCGCGTGCTGCCAGCGCGAGAGACTCACTGGCGCCTACAAACCTAAGTGGATACTTCACGCATTGCACAATGCTTGAAGTATCCACTTAGGTTTGTAGGCGCCAATGCGCGTTTCGTGCTGGCCGCCCGCTCGCCGTGCGTGCGGCGGCGCCTGAAGCAAATATTTCACAACAGAGGTGTTGCACAGTATTATACGATATTGAACGTATTAAGAATGACAGGCATCCTTTAAAAGTACAGATCTTTCCTCGCAAAATAAAGCAAGATACTTATTGTACACAAGGAAAATCTAAAAACCTTTAGCTGAGGCAAATATTTAGGCTAATTTTTAGGGAGAAACATAAATCAGAATGCTGAAATTCGTACCTTGACCAGTGTTCCATTGACTCTAGATTTGTTTAATTGCCCTTAATTTAGAGTCTCATTTGCTTATACGAGTAAATTGACTCAATCCGTCTTCAAAATAGGCACAAAATATTATTATTTTTAACAGTGCACTGACAACGGTTGCGAAGGTACCTAACAACTGCCGGATAACCCTTTGTGGGTGATTTCACGATAACAGGAATAGTTTAAATGTGAAATACCTTAAAAATAAAAGTGCACCAATTTTAACAGGATTTCATTACCTCATTTTAAAGGTATTAAACTTCCTGTTTCCAGCTTTGGCACGCTTTATTTTGATTCAGTGCAAAGTTAAAGTGATTGATAAACAAGCCATTGAATCAGGTATCAGCGCTTCCCGCGGGACTGCTGCGGAGGTCCACGCAAACATGGCGGCCCTGCCAAATTGTGTCGGTTACGTAACAGACGCAGCGTAACCGACACTTGAAAATGTGAGATAAAAGATGATACAAAAGATGAAACTTGGCAATTCTTGAGTTATGAGGTGGAATTAATGCTGCCTTAAAAGTTTTCTAAAATTTGGAGACTTCCTTTTAGTTTAATAATATTAAATTGAGGTTTTTGCGTAGTGAGGAATTAGTGCTACACACCTTAAAATCACTGGTTTTCTTAATAATTAAAGTTTTCATTGTAAAAAAAACTGACTTATCAGTAATGGTTTTGTCGAGAAGACTTCAGCGAACAATTTGATGGCAGTTTTGAAACTCCTGACTCCATCTGGCGAGATAAACACTGCACTTAATACAACTGCAAAAATTTGTCGCCAAATGTGGCGACACCTCTTTCTAATGACTTTTCTCGCTCAATAATAAACATTTCAGTTCAAACTGGCAATTTTCTTGAACATTAGAGTCTTTTTTCAGCAAATATTGCCAAAGAGTTCATGATCAGTACTGATTTGTTACCGCAAATTGCTCTTTTGCTTCAAAATCGGGGTTGGCGACGCGTAACCGACCGGACATTTTCGGCCTTTAAAGTCTCATATTATTAAATATAATGATAATTTATCATATTTTTTAGCATGGATAGTTTCAAAGACATCATACCTATTGATTAATTCATTTGGTTTTCAATCGTTTTGCCCTATGTCGTTCATAACCCACGGCGACACGACTATTCCTCTTATCGTGAAATCACCCTCGTACAACGTAAGCGATCAGCAAGCGAAGATGAAACGCAAGGCTCATCGTGAGCTCCAATAGGATAAAAACATGAAATGAGAAAATTTTAAATTGAGAAACTTTCCGCTTTGTCTGTTTGCTCACCGGTCTTTTGTTTGTTTTCAGCATCGGTGCGGTTGTGGTTTTCGATGTTTCGAGGATGGGCACTTTCAAAACCGTTGTCAAAGTAAGTACAGCTCAATAACCCTTCACAAAGAATACAAATACGGTCAACTCGAACTTTCGTTGAACTGCAGAAAAAGTCATTCCATCGGATGCATAAAGCTTAATCCTCGGGTCTTAAAATCCTAAGAATCCCTTGCCCCTGCAGAGAAAGGGAGCTCATGAATTCTTGAGCTGATGTTTTCCTACGTGTTTCTGCAAATGTCTCAATAAAAAGTAAGCAAAAAGAAAAGGGTATTGAACCTTGTTATGGAATGGGTCCAAACGTTACGGACCTCCTTGTGTGAGGAGATATTTGCACAGGAGGGTGCATGTTATCGTTTACAAGTCTGTTGATAATAATAGTCAATGGAAATAAAAGCATAAAATATACCTACTTGTAATGTGCGAATATTGCAAATTTTCGCATGTTACGAATATTGCAAATTTTTGCATGTTGCGAATATTGCAATGATTGAAAGATCGAGTGAAAATCTTTGGATTTTTGGAATAGCTTTTAACTCTCGTCCGGAGTGAATATCGCATACCAAAAGGTCAAACTACTTGCAGTATTTAACTTAGAACGTGCTCACAGAGTTATTTCAGAGCGTTTTCTGGTCCAATTTTGCGTGCAAATTTGACATTTTACAACGTGATGTGATACTCACAATTTCTGAGAAAATGTCCTAATGCAGAAATTTATAAATTAACCCATCGTACTACTGAATCGTTCTCCGAAGAGATTCAGATCCAACTTAAAGAGTAATTAAAGTAATCAAATTTAATGACTAATATATAAATAATAGCATGCATCAAAGGATCAAAGCAAGCGATTTTTATAAACCCCAAGTAAAATAAGAAATGTGAGGGGTCTTCGAATGAAAAAATACACTCATAAAAATGTCGACAATGGTTTTCGCAAAAATTGGAGTACCCACTGCGAAATAAATTTTGAAAAAAGTTATTCATACTCTCTGCGGTGCATCTTGAAGATCATTAAAAGTTATATAATGGTCTAATCTCCTCTCTAATGCGAGGCACTTTTTGCCATCTCGTCGATGAGCTGTCGTACTACTGAATCACTGCAGTACTCTGCCGTTGAGGAAAAACGTCGTATAAACATTCGAGAGTTGCCAAATTTACTCGAAAGAAGCATATATTAGTGGAGAAAGTTTTGCATAATTAAAATATTCACAATTTTCCCTGTAAATTTGACTTTTATCGGAGGACATACGGCAACATCTGAAGGCTCTTACGGCGCTTTTCTTTAGCACGGCAGTGTAGTATAATTATAGCCACTACTGGCGGTTTAAAAGCAGAAAGCACTCACTAGGTCATCGCATCTCCTCAGTAGTGTGTATGCTGCCATTAAAATTGGACTAAAAGCAAAAAAGACAATTTTTTGACTTCATTGTCGCGTTTTTAGCGTATCTTAGTCTCAGAACAGGGTGGCGAAATTTTATGAAAAATAAAATATTGAAATTTCACGCGAAATTTTTCATGAAATTTCAGAAATTCATGAAAGATATCGAAAAATACCGGTTCTTTTCCATGTTCCGCACAATTTAAAAATTGTGACTTTCTTCTATTTTTGTGTGTTTGAGTGCGGGTTGCATACTCTAGCCCCTGAAAAATATGAAATATTTCACAGCCTCGTGAAATTTCAATATATATTTCCCTGAAATTTCCAAATCTTTCATTTCTTTCTTACTTTTTATGCCGCCCTGTCTCAGAATGATTTTTGCGTTGATTGACTCCTCCATTACTACAAAAGAGGGGCTTGGAGAACAAGATGCATAAGAGCAGTTTTTGCCATTTCGAGAAATGCATGTTTGAAGCACCGAAATTACATGGATCCTTGTGGCGTAGAGGAAGTTCAAACTGGATTTTTAATGCTTCAAAATTGAAATTTGGGAGCGAATTTTTCACAGATTATGCATTCAGGCTAGTTTAACTTGAAATCATCAATTTTTCATTTTTTTTCTTCAAAAACTGCACTCATGCGCAATGTCCTCCAAGCCCCTCGAATGACAAATTCAAATTTCAACCTGACACTATAGCTTGCGCTCTGGTTTGAAGTGGTTTAAAATCGGGGTTTCGGCCAGGCTTTATGTTCGGAGAAGAAGAGGATGGAGTGCGGCGTGCGACTAGGTGGGTTCTTTTTTTCGCCTGGCTGATTGATCGAACTCGACGGCCCGTATGAAAACAGCTCAAGAGTAAATAGCGTTTCGTTTTTGAATCACGGCTTCACCGAATTTTCATCTCGTCTTCCATTGACGTCTCCGTCCAGTTTTACCTTTCAACTTCGAGCCTCGCCGCGTTTCCTTTCGATCGAATCCTATTTTTCAGGTTTCCACGAATTTTTCATCTCGCTGCGCTTCCGCGTGTCGACGCTTCAAATGTATCTGTCATCGTAACTCGGTTTGTTTCGTCAGACGCAACGCGTCGAGCGCCTCGCGTTCATGCATAGTGTATTCTATTGGACGCATTTCTGTCAAACGGAACTATGTGTATTATGACATGAGCCCTGTAATGCATATAATCTTATGGGTATCAGGGATCTTGTCTAAATGCACATAGTTCCGTTTGATAGAAATACGTCCTATTCCAAGAAGTGCTGGTAAATTTTTAAGGGATTCAAGCGTCGAGTCCTCGCGTCTGTGACATGTCGATCGTGAATAGATTGACCTGCTGTTTAAACGCATGGAAAAGAATCGATTATCAGGGTGTCCGCAACAGACGCCCTCATAATCGATTTTTTGTCACTGCTTCAGATGGGAAAATATCGAAAATGGATTATTCTCGCCACGCCACTGATTCGCACCGATGGGAATAATCGATGGAATAGGTTTGTTCCGGACTCCAGCTGGAGCATGAACAGGAGTTGTCTCTATAAGAAGTTTTGAATCATTCGATGATCGATCGATCGATTTATATTTTCTGGATTTTTGGTAATTTTTCAGCATTACATCACGCTGTAGAACGTCATTTATTTGTATACGTGAGAGAGGAACATGTTTTAAAAATTTCATTAATTATAGTGCGTCCCAAGCAAATATTGCGAATCGTTATACTTGCCTTTTGTAGTCAAAAGTACGAGTATTCTTACAAATGGATGTGAAGTTTGGCAGCTGAAAAAAGGACACAGGATATGCTAAGAACAACGGAGATGGATTTCTGGAGAAAGTTGGCAGGAATTTCTGGAAGAGATCAGCTCAGCAATAAAAGAGTGCGTCAGATCATGGGAATCGAAAATGAAACGCTGTTTTCGACGTCAAGACCAAACAACTTGTCTGGCATGGTCATTTGAACAGGATGACGGATGGAAGGCTGCCGAGGCAGATGCTTGATTGGGCTCCTCCTAGGAGGAGACGAAAGTTACGCCCAGTGAAACTCAATCTGACGTTGTATGCCACGCTATCATTGCGGACTGATTATTGAAATTGATAGATAAAGCTATAGACAAAGAAGACATAGAGAGTATAGAGCGATGCTGTTGGTTGAAACGGGTGGTTCTTAAAGACTAAGGGAGTAAATTAGGGACTAACATCGGGTCTTTTGTGGGTTGCCGTTAGTTAGTCTATTACCTACCTCCTATGTCCATTGCCATCACCCGTTTTCACCAGGAACCCTCCAAATCCCTATTGTCGTCTTTGTCTAAAGCTCTGTCTATCAGTTTCAATAATCAGCCCGCTACTAAGAAGGGATGGTTGCGGACCCTCCAAAACGACGTCCGGTCAAATAATAGATGTAAGAAAAGTTTTGAGTTTTTTAAATTTTTGGCGATTCAGATTTTCCTTAAGGTGCTTTCCTATTTTTCAGCCTTGTTTTAAAACAAGTCCGTATTTGATTACAGTGGCTAACAGATCTGCGGGAGAAGGTAGCGTTGTATGACGGAAGCCCGGTGCCGGTGGTGTTGCTAGCCAACAAATGTGACATTGCTGGCGCTGCCATCCCGACAGAGACCATCAAGAAATTCTGCCGCGATCACGGCATTGAGAAGTGGTTCCCCACATCTGCCAAAGAAGATATTAATATTGGTAAGCATCGGTCTGATTAATCTTGCATCCCATATATTTAATGCACACGGAACATACCGTTTACCATTGCACAGTGGATCGAGTCAATAGGAGAGGTCGGACGAAATTTGGAAACCTTAAACGCTCATAACTCCGTTTATATACAACTTTGAGATTCTAAAAGTGGTTCCATCGATTTTCTCGTAAAATTTTTTTCAAGGAGCACCCCTTAAAGTTTAAAATGTGGCTTAATATACATCAAAATTTGCAGTTACAGTCAAACATTTTATGTCCGACTTCTATGATTGACTTGATCCTCTGTGCGTCGTGCATACAATCTATGGACTGGCCATAGGATGGTACGTCACTTTATTCATGGATCACTACAATATTGCCATAAAACATTCTGAATTTTACAAAAAAGGGGAGCTCAGTCTCTTGCTAATGAGAGTAAAATGGCGCTTCAAGCGCACTATAAACAGTTTACGAGGGTATCAAATACCAAAACGCCTTCCATTTTTTGTGTATGCAACATGAGCATCCCTGAGGCACGAATAGTTGCATCCGATTAATTGAGATAATTTGAGGTATATCTATTCCGATAATTTGACCACATTTTGCAATTAGGAACTACGATATCTAGCCAAGCTGTAAAAAAAGCATAGGGAAACTGATATGTCATTTGATACGCTAGCCTAGATGTTGTAGTTCCAAATTGCAAAATGCAGTCCAACTGAGAGTGTTCCCTGTGGCTTTGCCGAATTTTTCGACGGTTGAAAACCGTCTCTATTGAGACCTGTTAGTAAGTTTACCAGTGCGCAGTAACTTTATCAAAGCTTTTAGGGTGCGACCGCAATAATACAATGCGCCCTCGGTCGCAATTTCATGTCGGAAATTCAAAAGTCAACCCTGTTTCTTCCCCTGGTAACTCGCAACAGGGCTGAGTTTCTGCGTGCTGACGTCGTTACGAAGCCACTTGTAAGCGCCTCCGAACTAGGTTGCAAAGTTTTCCCGACTCGCGCTAATATTTTTGACGCGACGTGAACTTCGCGCAAGTTTTTTCCCCGCAATTTACGGTGAAAGTCGACGCCAGTTGGAGGACGAAAGATTGCACCGGGAGGCTTTTAGGGTTGTCAAACCGCATGCAAAAAAAATTGTATCACATTATGCGAGTTGGAACTGATATTTCGAGCGCAATTCGTCATTTTCCTCACAAAATAACGTAACTACATTTCAATATTGCCAGATTTCTCTTTGAAAAGTGTATTTTTACCGAGACAATCTTTTAAAGTCCTAACCGAAAAATTCGCTGATTTTTATTCTGATCTCATACAAAAATCAGGAAATTTTTTTATAAATTTTGCGTTCATTCTCGTGGAAAATGTAATTGTTTACGAAAATTTTGCAATTTTGGAATGGAGCTACCTTCCTTCATCCGGGAGACGACGATTATAGAAACAACGTAAGTGCTCTTAATGTTCCTAAGCAGATAGGGCTGCCTTTTCATCCTGTTCTTTCGCCGTGGCTAAAGAAAAACGTCGAATGAATATTCGGGAGTTGCCAAAGTTCCTCCAATAAAATGTTTATTTTTAAAAAGAGCTATGAATTTTTTCTCTTGATATTTTCAGATGAGTTACATGTGCTTGTGATTAAAATTCTCTGAAAAATTGGAGGAAAAATATTCACAGATTTCCATAAAAATTCGAATTTTAACAGAGGGAATTTGGCAACATCCAGAGGCTCATACGGCGTTCTTCCTTAACACGGCAGTTCTCTTCTCCCGCTTTTGCTATCTGGGTAGGTGGTTTTATGGATGAGTCAGAAACAGAGGTTCCTTCCTTGCAAAATGTAGTCCATATACGACAACCGCCTCATAGGGAAAATAATGATTTCCAGGTGGATTTGGCAGCCCCAGTCGCGGGTCTACAGTCAGGAGATGAAAAGACTCAAATTCCAGCTGTAAACTTAATTACGAGGCTCCTCAAGGGCTCCGTGTTCAGTGCGGCGGCGAGACGAAAGTTCCCCCACCAAGCATGAGCTTTCAGCTTTTGCGCGCGGTTTTTCGCGTTAACCGGCGTGAGTTTCAATTTTAGGAGTGGTGGGGGCTGGGGGGAGGATCTAAAATTCCTCGTGCCTCTTTACGCAGCCGAGGTTGGGGAGGAAGAATACCTTGATGGCGCAACGATAGAGAGACAAGCATCTCCGTTGCTAGGTATCAACATATTCGTGCGTGGTATATTACTTCACCCCTTGCAAAACAAGGGCTCATTATCAAAAGTTTATTCTGACTAAAATGAGGTTTATATAAAAATTATAAGAGCATTTAATTGAATCTAATTATTCTAATGTTTAAAATATCGTTAATCCAAAATCAAATTTTAAATTAGTTTTTTGAAGCCTTTATCTTTATCTATAATGCCAGCAGACTGATTGTTGAAATTGATAGACAAAGCTATAGATAAAGGAGACATAAGGAGAATGGAGCGATTCTATTGGTTGAAATGAGTGGTTCTTATAGACCAAGGGAGAAAATAATGGACTAACAATAGGGTCTCCTGTGGGTTGTCGTTAGTTAGTCTGTTACCTACCTCCAGTGTCCATAGCAACCACCAATAGGATCCCTCCATATCCCTTTTGTCCTCTTTGTCTACAGTTTTGTCTGTCGATTGTGATGTCTAATGATCAACCCGCAGCTTCTTTGGCAGCTTCTGTCCCTGCTGAGGGAGACACTTGTTGCAATTAGAAAGTTATGAGATCCGGACTAGTGAAAGTGTATTTGAACATATTTCTGCCAAACGGCACTATGTGCATTAAGACATGAGCCCATATACCCACAAGAATACATGAATTTCAAAGTTCACATCATAATGCACATCGTTCTGTTTGGCAGAAATACCTTCATGACCATTGGTGATTTTGAAACTTAGCAACACTATTCTTCCTCTATCTAAGCAGCAATTTAACTGGCCTCAAGAGAAATTATGGAGCAAACCATCATTTTGTCATTAAAATTTCACACCACGGAAAGCATGGAAATCAACATCCGAATAACCATATAAGTGTTGACCAATATTGGTCGAGTCAATATTGGTCACAAAGAAAAAAAATTGATTTTATTTGCACAATCTAAATTTAATTTCCTTTCTGTCAAAAATACTCGTTAATATCTCGTTCAGGATTTGATACAAATATCCAAACTTTCCGTCGTGTAAATCGTTTTCTACGCAAGATTTTGAAGAGAAAACACGTCACATTTTTTTTCAAGCAGACCTCGTATACTGGCCCAATATACTATCAAAAATTATGAAGTACGATTACGTTGCCGTATATGTGTAATTTTATAAGAAGCTGCCACTTTCAACAGTACAAATGCCTAAATAGACGCGATTATTGTATTTGCGTTTGTGTAGAATGATTAAGAAATACGACCCGCGCATTTTCAAACTTGATGTTGGCCGAATAAATCAGTCCGAGAAATAAATTACCATGCGGTCTCAGCGTGCTAAATTTCAAGCGCACGGTTTTCGTTTAATCTGAATAATGGCTTTTCTGCGAGCCGAATTTATAACGATCGCTTGATCAAAGCTGTAGTTTTTGTCGAGCGCACAATTCATGGCGTTTGTCTAATCTAATTTATGAATTTTTGATTAAAGACGAGGCCATGGACTATCTGATCGATCGAGCCCTCGATGTGAACCACCAAGAAACGAAATGCTGTGACACGGTCCTGCTCCAAGGCAAATCCAAGTCTTCCAAGAGATGTTGCTTTAGATGATCTGACTACGAATCTTACTTTTATCTATGAAGGATTTTTAAAGGTGAGAATCCCAACAAGATCCTTGTCACCCATTAACGGATTCAGCAAATCGGCAACATTGTTTTTCTCCATTTAAACCCATTGAAATGTATCGATTCTTAGGGAGGTTAGGTGCTCCGTTAAGAATCGACTTTTTAACATAGGTTTAAATGGAGGAAATCCGTTGCTGCCAGATTACTTGATTCGCCTCTGTTATCACTTCATGTGGCCGTCCACGGGAAAAGGACCTCAGTCCACGGACACAATCTTTTTCAGGAACCCTATTTTTGTAACTTTGCATAAAAAAAATAGGCAACCGCCATTTACAAGGCTCATCAGTGTCTTCATTAGAGCTACCAGTATTACCTAAATTATCCCATTTATCGTCACCTCTCGGCCAAAGTATCACAGGCGTCATGCGACGTTTAAAAATTTCCGCCGCCATTTTATTTTTCATAGAGAAACTGTCGGTTGAATCTATTTGAAAATTTCACTGAATTTTATCGGAAGCGCAAAGAAAATTCAGTGAAATTTTCGGACAGCTTCATTGAACAATTTCTCTGTTAAAAAATAACATGACGGCGGAGATTTTGAAACGTCGCACGGCGCTTGTGATACTTTGGCCAGAGGATGACGATATAATAATGAAGCATCTTTACCCAAATTAGTAACGCTGTAATTTCAACTTCCTGTCATAGGGAGATGATCCGAAAACGATTAGGTCAGTGGTAATATAAGGATTTGCTCGCTTAAAATGAATACTATCTAAACTTGATTAAAATCTTTATAAATAGGCACCAGTGATTTTTGTAAAACTTAATGATAGCCGATAAAACTAACGCTTCAGCAGGCGTAGGGTTCTAGAGCAACTTATCACCCACGACTTCATTAATTGCGCTTCTCACTACCAAAACGCAAACACCCAGAGCCCCTTCGATTTTGTGGGTATGCAACATTGATATACTTGGAGCACACATTATTGCAGCCATGTATCACTTGCAGCCTCAGCACACGTATTTACGGAAACAAAAGAATATCTACTTATTAATTTCTACGGCAGATAAACATATTTTGCACGAATGCGTCTCCATCACGTCCAACGTCCGGTTGCGTACTTGGACCTAGATCAATTTTGGCTAAAAATTGGAGGCTCTGTAACTTCCCTCACAAACGAAAAACGCGTGGTCCTGAAATTTCCCTTTAAAGCTCAAAAACCACAAAAGTTCACTTCTTTTAAGTGCCGCATTGAAGCCTTAAACAAAAACGCTTTTAGGGGTCTCGCATCAGAGAGAACTTAGCTGAGAGGTTTCGTGCTGGCTGTCCAAACAATGTAAACACGTGAAGCAAAAGTTAATTTTGGAAATCTACACTATATTCCTCCTTTTCCCGTTTTTTCATTGATGATAAATGAATGCCGAGTTGTCAGGTTTATAGAGGTCATTTGCTCGGTTACGTCTTGAGTACTACCGTGGTAAGGAAAAACGCGGTATGAGCCTTCAGGCGTTGCAAAATTTCCTCTGGCAAATCACTAATTTTCAGAAAAATATTCGAATGCTTTTCTGCCAATTTCTCAGATGATTTTGTTCGTAATTTGATCTAAAGTGTCTGAAAATTGCTAGGAAAAATATTCATAATTTCTCTCAAAATTAAACATTTTATCCAAGGAAATTTGGCAACTCTCGAATGTTCATACGACGCTCTTCCTCAGCACGGAAGAGTATCTATAATTTCTATGAAGGGAGAGTGCGGACATGTCGAAATATGGAGTTCTTCGGGCCAAAAGAACAGCCAACCTTTGAAAACGGAAACTGGCACTGTAATCTTCAGACTCCAATATGAAACCAAAATGGCGAAGAATGTTCATAAATGAGCTTCCTTCCACAAAAATGAGTAAATTCATGCAAAAACTAAGTCAAATACGTGCTTCACCGACGACGGATCGTAACAAGTGTAATAATAAATCACTCAGGATAATTTGAATTCATAGATTGGCTGCCCTTTTGGGCCCTGAGAGCTCCATCACATAACCGACATGTCCATACTTTCCCTATGCATGTCTCTTGAACACATTACTCAATATAATCATCATACGCAGAAATTATTAATAATCCCCAAGAGTAACTTTTACAATTTAAACTCTCGATTGCCTACAAACCTACAGGGATACTTCTCGCATTGCGCATGAAATGAGCGCCTACAAACCTAAGTGGATACTTCACGCATTGCGCAAAGCGTGAAGTATCCACTTAGGTTTGTAGGCGCTCATTTCATTAGAGCTCTGAACCACTGTTTCAGTGACGTTCAATTGTAACGTTTTAAGCTCCTGATGGATTGTTTGAGACGCCGAGTTTCAAAAGCTGAAATCTCTATTTCGGTGTTTCAAAATTTGGAAAATTGTTTAATCTTTTTTTTTTTTTTAAAAAAAAAAAGAGTAATCAATAAGACTTTGTGTGTGTAATACTGCTATAATTTTCTCACTAACATGTAAGACATTCTTTAGAAAGTACACTAATAGAAAGTCACCTGCTCTCCTCATAATACGTCGTTTCCCGAACGAATAAACGTAACTCCATTCCGAGGTCGCAAAATTGACTAAAAAAATTCGATTTTTTACAAGAATTTACCCGTGCCATTTTCGTTCACAAATTTTTCTGATTTCACTTGAGATCCGAGGAACAATCAGTGACATTTTCAGTCAGAAATGCCCAAGATGCCCCTGGTCAAAATGCAATTAACAGGTGGACATTTTGCAAAACTGAAATTTAGTTACGTGTTTTCGTCAGAAAAACGACAAATGTATTAAAACGACTGCCAATTTCTCAGCCAGCGGAATAGAGATTGCAGGTTTTGATCCTAAGTGCCTCATTTCAGACTCTTTTCACGAGTTAGTTCTAAAAAAGTTCCACCATTCTGACGGATAAATCTAGGTGGAAGGTTGTTGAGACACAACCGAATAGAACCTCCAAAAGAACCTCGAATTGAAATTATCGTTCCAGGAAGGTTACAGTGTGAAGTCACTTAAATAGTTTGCCTCAAGGTCGAAAAAGGATTCCATGTGTAATGATTCGGGAAGGCAAAAACATTCTCTCGAACTTTTATAAAAGTTAGATCACAAACCTCGAGATCTCGCTTCCCTGTAGACATCAACATATCCTGCAGCGAGGGTCATTAACTGCTGACGATGAGACTTAAGCTGGAAAATAATAACGGACGATACGCACGCGGAACCAACAAATACTTTTGCCTGATGGCTTTGCAACTCAAGCACCGATTATTTAAAAGCCGCTGTCTAAACTTTTTACTTTGTCTTGATGAGGTCGTTTCCCCATCCTCTTCCTGCTGTAGACCTCCGTTCCCTATAGGGAAAAGTCATTAATTTTTTGTGTCTGTTCTTTTCAGATTTTGACGCGTCACCTACTCAAGTGGTGAGGAATTTAGAGATGTTTTTACTGGATCAACGTGCATTCAAGGTTCACGAGTAAGGAACTGAGTGAACCGTAGTTTTAACTGTACTATTTTCATGATTATTCACTCCGATATTATTCCTTTTAATGATTGTTTTAATTTTTTCTCAGCAATTCTGATATTTGAAATACGAGTAGCAGATTTTATTTAAAAATACCATGTAAGCTGTGATCTTTATAAAGAGAAACTATTTCTTAATATATATTTACATTTTTAATTCTTTGTTATAAGATGACAACTTGATACTTTTTATTCATCATATGTTTTATTGTTTTGTTGTATTTTTAATGAGAGAAAGGAAATGCTTTCTCCCGATTTAAGACAAAAAGCAATTTGATACCTAGAATTATGTTTTTTTTTCACTTTTTAAGAACAAATAAAAATGAATGAACGTTTCTTAACCAAGAGTATGTTGAAATGTTAAAATTTTAAATCAGAATTTTATAAAAAACTTGTTTTACCACACATTTTTATATTTAAATAAGTTGTACAGAAAGTCATAGAGACCGTGTAAATTGCATTCGGCATGTATCTATTATTTATTAAGTCTTTTAACCGTTATACAAAGATTATTTATAAGATAAAACGACACTCCTTCTTTGAAGAAATAAAACATAGCGCATTTTTCTAGAAGTTGAAGTTTTACTTCCTTCATCCTCTGTTATCAACGACTTCAATCTAACGGCACATGCTGTATACATATGTACATGCATATAAGCCGCTTTATAGCACTACCTGGCACTTTACGATAAAAATATCTTCATTTTTTTAAAAATAGTATACAATATGTATTGGCGACAAGGGGTGGAGGAGGAGGTCAGAAGGTGCCAATTGCCTGATGATCTCTGGGAGGATAGGGGGAAATGGCGATTGAGCGCCGCAGAGCGCGAGGTGGCGCTATAAAAGCGGCTTTATGTATGTATACAATAAATGGACCGCAAACCGTGCAGAAAAGCCCGATCGCGGTGTTTCGTGTAAATCTAGTTAGGCAGCAGCCACCCGTCGTTTTTTTTTTTTTTTTTTTTTTTTTTTTTTTTAGGTCTCGTCATTTTTTAGGGGGAGTTTTTTAGGATTGGGCCGGGGTGGCTACCGCCACCTAGAATGTACGGCGTCAGGTTGGACCTGGATCGAATCAGCAATAGTCCAATAATGCCCTAGCCACGTGAGCAAGTCGCAACCTCTGCGTGACATTTAGAGGATTAAGAGCCATCCCCAGCGGGCCGATTGTTGAAAGTGATAGATAAAGCGATGGACAAAGAAGACATAGGGAGTATGGAGCAATGTAATTGGTTGACATGGGTGGTGCCTATGGACTAAGGGAGAAAATTATGTACGAACTACAGGGTCTCTCGTGGGTTGCCGTTCGCTATAGTCTATCGCCTACCTCCTTTGTCCATTACAACCACCCCCTCCAATACAGCCGTGCCAAGGAAGAACGCCGTATGAACATTCGAGAGTTGCCAAATTACCTTTGATGAAATGTTTATGTTGAAGGAAAATTATGACTATTTTTCCTTGAAATTTTCAGGATATTTAGAACAAAATACGAACAAAATTCTCTGAAAAAATGTAAGAAAAATATGCATTAGTTTACTAGGGAATTCGTAATCTATAGAAGACAATTTAGCGACGCCTGGAGATTTATACAGCGTTTTTCCTTACCACGGCAGAATAGGAACCCTCCCTTCATACCCCTTTTGTCTTCTTTGCCTATAGCTTTGTCTACCGATTTCAACAATTGGCCCGCTGGTGTCTAACAGTAACCTATGGTCTCGGTCACGTAACTAAAAAATTTGGTCGTTCAACCAAGTCTTTTTAGTTGATCTGACCGAGAAGGAAGTAACTCAAAGGGACTCAAAGTGACCATAGACACGAACATGTTTAACGGTGCGGGCCCCATTTCTCGCGGACGGTTGAACAATCTGACGCAAAGACGCAGCCGCTATTTATGTCATCATTCGTTGGAATTCAAGTATGATCGAGGTGGAAAACTTTCCCGCTCCAATCGGGACAGTTAATTACAGCGGTCGGGAAAGTGCGGTGATGCACGATGAGGAAGGGGCGGCGCACAATGGATCGAGTCAATTGGAGAGGACGGACATGCATTTTTTTACAAAAACTGCAAATATTGATGATTAATTCGTCACATTTAAAATTTAAAGGAGTGCGTCTAGAAGGAAATTTCACGAGAAAACCAATGTAACCACTTTCAGAACCTCAATGTTGTATATAAACGGAGTTATGAGAGTTTAAAAAGTCCAAATTTTGTCCGATCTTTCCTATTGACTCGATCCACCGTGCGGCGTCAACATTGAATTCGAAGTAAAAAGTAAGCTAGCGCCCATCGCTTCGTCACTGTCCCTTTATTAAGCTCACAGACGATGGGGAGGGGGGGCGTAGTAAAACTTAATTAAAAAATCGATGACGTCACTGTTTCGAGCTCCCCCTTTCCACGTAGACTCTCCTGGCATCTCGCATATCCGGGTTGAAGGGGGAGGGGGATGTTCTGCTTGAAATTGTTGAAAACTTCGTCGTTAACAAGTAATTATTGCCCGGCTGGATTTCGCGGCCAGCGGCTCCGTTGCCATGACTACCTGGAGTGACGGATGGGGGCGGCAGGGTGTTACCTAGTTCCTTTTTACCTCATTTTCGCGAGATCTGGCGAGGGACGGAGAATCAAAGTTCCGAAACAAAATAAGGCGGGATACACTTCGTACGCAGTTTTGCGTCACGTTCAGCGAATATCTACGTGTATATGCTGAAAGGAACCAGATACGGGTGGGAAAAAAGGAGTGTACTCGTTAGTTGATGGCCGTAAGAATGAATGGGAATTATAAAGCGCCAGTGACGTCAGCGGCGACGACGACGAGCTCGACGATTGTGCGCTGCATTAACTCATGATCCCTCTTCACATGGGCGTATCCGGGGGTGACGCCCCCCCCCCTCCTTCACCCCAAAAAAAAATGTTGGTGCTTTTGATCCCCTTTTTATTTAATTAACATTCCCACAGTTCCGTTTTCCCCAAACGGAATCACGCCCATTTCTGCATTGTTTCTTGGGCAGCTTGTGCGGGCATCAATCTTTGCACCACGATTCGAGCACGGTATGTCATCTGGGGGAACACGGAGCTAAACTAGATCTTTGGGTAACGTTTGTTAACAACCAATGAATGTAGGAGTTGCAGGGAGGCTTCAGCTGAGCATACGAAGAAAAACTAAAAATCGAGGGTGGCGTATTGAACTAGCACCGATGCGACTCGTGCCTGATTTTTATCCAAAAAATTTAGTCGACGTAACCCCCCTCCCCCCAAAAAAAAAACTGATCAAAAACATTAACCACATGTTCAGGTTACTTTGTGCTCTACTTCCCATTCTAACACAAAATATCTGTTACGTACATTTTCCATAGGCGGATCCAGGCCTTTCGAACGAGGGGGTAGTCCGGGGAGTTCGGGGGACAAGGGGACATCCCCCAAACAATTTTCGAAACGAAACACCCAATATGTCAGACTAATATATTTGGTGGCCAGGCTCTTTACCCAATTATGTTTGGTCCAAAGTGTCTGTGGTCCATTTTTAAGTTTGTTCGATAGATTTTTTGCGGAATGTTATTTGAACCAATAGTTTACTTAGTACTTGGCAATTGAATAAAATGAGTTTACTTAGTCCAGTTACAAGCAACGACATAGGTACTGAGATTTCGCCAAATAATGAAATTTAACCCTTAGATGCCCAAGCCGGGTCAAGCTGACCCAAGGATCGCTGACAACTCGTGCCCCCAGGTTTTATTGGGCCGGTGCATCCGAACTCGAGATGTAGGTCTACAAATACAACTTGAAAAAAGAATAAGACATAAAATTGAAAAAAATCTAATATCAACACAGCCGAAGATGGGAGATACATTTTTGGGTTTGGTTTTTTAAAACTTTTCTCTCGAACCAGAGGGACAGTTCATTGGCAGCCAAGAGCGGAGCATCGCGACTCACGCCCTAGCGCCTTCAATTTTGCAGATACAACACGGACATCCATCAAGCACGAATAGTTGTATCCCTGCACGGTCATCAACGCGCGACCTTTCCCTTGCTCTATTTTCACGTTTTGTTGGTTCCGTCTGTCTTATTTGTAGTAGTGCTTCAAAGGCTTCGTCAGGAAAATAGCCGAAGATAGGAGCGATGTAATTGGGCCTTTTTTTACCTTTTCTCTCGAGTTCAAGCGACACCTCACTGACAGAATAGCGGAGCATTGCGAGTTCACGCATCGCGCCTTCAAGTTTGCAGATACCACACGGAAATCCATCGAGCACGAATAGTTGTATCTCTGCGTCGTCATCAAAACTAGTCATCTATCCTACTCTATTTCCATGTTGTGATGGCTCCGTTTCTCTTATATTTGTTGTGGTCTTTACAAGGATACGTGAGCAACACAGTCAAAGTTTAACTTAGATTGCATTTGTTGGCCAAACTACGCATCGGGTAAAAATGAAGTGTCTACCTACCTGCAGTTTGAGTCAATTTCATAATGAATAATTAATAATTACTAATAGCGTCCTTCTTTTTTCTATCCTCCGTTCCTTCCTGGTTTCTTTTTCCCTTTTTTCGGTCAAATGGAAGGGGCGCACCCCCTTACGCCCCCGCCGCACCCTTAAATCCGCTTGCGACTTTCCCTAACCGTATACTCATTAAAAGACTTCCATCATCACTCCGACAGTTCCCACCCCCGCACATGAGCGCACCCAATACCTAATACAAAGCCTTTTGGCGGGAACCTCTCCGGGCTGAGCACCGCGAATCTGATGTTGCTTGTTGCATAGGTTCGCCCGGAATTTGATTTTCGTTGTCGCGGCCCCGGCCCTTAATTTCGCGACTAAACGCTCCAATTAATTTCAGGCTCCACGCACCCCCCCTCCCCGCCCCTTCCCTCAATTACGCGCAACGCAAACCCGAGAACACTCGCTCTCACCTGAGTCCCGAGTCTTGGATCCGCCACCCTGAGCGGGGAACGGGGCGGGGCGGGGGTTGGATTCGCGGAGTCTCCCGAGTCCCGCTTTTAGTTTGGCGCGCGCCGCTCACGAGATCGCACGGGGGTTGCTCGGAGCCTTTGCCACGAGTCCGCGATCCCGGCTTTTGTGCTCCCGTGCTTTTGTGCTTTTGTGCTTTTGTTGCCACGCGAGTTAATTACTCCCGTCACGGTTTTTTTTTCCTTTATTTTTTTTTGTAATTGGACTCTCTTTCGCTCTCTCTCTCTATCGCCAGGTGAGTCCGCGCACTGAAAAATTAACGGGCTTTTAAAGAGTTTCATGCATGCTGGATGGAAACGGGTGTATTTTAATAACTGTTGATCGGATCAATTCAGCGTGGACTTCTAATTGCGTTAATAGTTTGTTTTGCCACGCTCCATTTCAACGAGTTATTTACTTGTGTGAGTATTCACTTGTTACAGTGCCTGCGTGCACCAAAACTGTGTAAGGTCTACTTCAATTTTTAATAATTACACAAACTGATTGCGGTGGACGCATGGGTCGTAAGACCATAAGTTGGAATTTTTTAGCAAACGTGCGTTAAAAATCAGCATAGAGTTGAAAATCTCAATACAGATTTTCTGTATTTTCTGTTATTTTCTTTGTATTGAAATTTTCAGCTTTATGCTGATTTTAACGCGTGTTGGCTAAAAAATTCTAACTTACTGTTTTAATCATTCTTAAATTTGACGTATCCTCGTAGGCTGAAAATGGTTGCTTTTTGATAAAAACTGATGATTGGGTCAAAATTAGCGTGAATTTTTAATTGCGCTAATGCTTTGTTTGAATCAAACGATCTATTTGAGACAAGGTATTTGATAACGAGGTATTTACTTGTGCATTTTCCCCCAAAAAGTACCTGCGTTAACCAAAACCGCATATGATATACTTCAATTTTTAAACTTAGTACATATAATCTCACATTGTGCGATTAGAAAATTATACCTCAAAAAATTCGGTGTATCCTCATGGGCTGAAAATGGGTGCCTTTTAATAAAAATTGCAAATCGGATTAATAACTTGTAGATTATTCAATCGTGCTGGGGATCGCCCATTCCCACCCGGTTCCTTTCATAGTTTTCGATTTCATCCCAGCTTTACGGGGAAAAATTAATTGGCAATGTAGCAGTGTAGAGGGAACAAATAATTACTTAATAAAGAATAAAAGAAAATAAAAAGGATGTAACCTAGCCCAACGCAAGGCACTTATCGTAATAAAATATGCATGCCGGTAAGCCATGAAATTTTACAACTTTTCGTCAAACAACTGACTTAAATCCGGAAAATTGACAAAGTTGTGATAAACAGCGATAGTTTACTTCATTGGCACCATACACGACGTTCGAATGAAGTTAAGGCGTGAAAGGAACATGCAAAGAGGCCTCATTGCATGCGTCAAACACTGAACGGATTTCATTATAACGCCTGGATGCAACTATTCGAGCCTTAGGGATGTCCGTGTTGCATACGCGCGGATTTGAAGGCGTTTTGACTTTTTAAGCACTATCATCACTTCATCCGTAGCGCGAGCGCAGCTCCAGTAAGGCAAACTGTACTGCAAGGATCCAAAGCTGCAGGGTGCTCTTAATTCCTCGTTTATACTACAAAGAAACATCTTGAGCACGAATATGAACACACGTATGGAAAATGCGAGTATAATTTGTGATCGAATTTGATATCGCGAGGTGTATGATTTGTGAAGTAACCATTCGTGCCGAAGATTATCTGTGTATTATAAACGAAGCATGAACGGCACTCCGTCTTTTTGAAATGTCTTTTGAAAATCTACATTTCTGAGCATGATTCGTAGAGCACCCTTAAACTTACTTTAACCAATCGTAAAATTGGAGTTAACTCGACGGCAAAAAGAGTTGATTCCGCGCTACAGGAGCGGGAATAAATCCGCAAAAAGAGTGGAGTTCCGCTTCGCACTCGTAGACTTCGAGTTTTTCAGAAAGAAATGTAATTCGGATTCCTTATCGCAAATTTGAACAGTGTACTCTCCTCGAAGATTGATCAATTGGACTATTAATACTAAAAGGAACTAAGTTGCACGCAAAACCTATACACATAGCTCCTATTAGCATGAATACGTTGAATTCTTATGTATCCCATTTCCAAACATTTTGTTGCTCGCTCATAAAGCATCACAATCTTGAATTTCTACGTCACATTAACACACAATAGCTGCAACCAATAGTGACAAGTGTCATCAATTTATGGCCTAAAAAGACTAAAATGTTTCTTGTATTGGCTAAAAGAGTTACTGCCAGAGTTAATCGGAGGTGTTCCTCTATCAAATGTAGTTTTATTTGCACATCGCAAGGAGAACTTTATTCAAATGCATAATTACGCGTATTTACATAATTTTATGGCTAAATGTGTGCTATTTTGAAGAAGAATCATCTTGGATATGGTAAGGTTGACGGCAAACGCGGTTAATGATAACCGTCAAAGGTTAGCAATGACCCCCAATCCTCAAAAACGAAGACAAAGCGCCGCCATTTTTGGGCCCTTAGTCTTTCATCGGGCTCTGAGCGTCCACACCCTCTCTATGAAGGTTCTCCAGAATTCTATTTTACTCCAGAATCCAGAATTTAGACCCTAAACGCGTCTGTTGTTGCCCTCTTGAATGGTCGTAACTATAGTGTTGCACCAAACAGCGGATCTCTTTGGGGGAAATTGAGCTCGAATGAGCTTTTTCCCTACGTGTTGACATTTTCAGTTTTCTGGATTTTCAAACCCGTTGGCTACATCACCAACTTAATGTCTATGTACGACTTACGCGTTTTTACCGCAATTTGTTTCTGCCTCCAGAATTTCTTACCTTTTTTAGAAGCCCACTGGCTATCGAATTGTTCTAGATAATGCAATAGGGTCAATCTAACTCTCCCCATTCAGGGGCTCGAGACTAGAGTCCCTTTTATACTGAGAGTTAAGACAATTAGAATCCATTTCTGATTGGTCCCCGTATTTTAGGCCTCCGCAGTGTCACAAACGGGAAAAAAGATTACATTTTCACCAATTGCAAAGATTATAATCTGGAATGGACCGGGGAACTGCGGGTTCGGCAAGGAGCAAACGGAATGAGAGAAGAAACGGAGAGGGAAATTTGAGGATGGACCGATCAAAGATTACGAAAAACTGAAGTCCCTTTATTCTGAGAGTCAAGAAAACATCCCCTTATGGAGTCACAAACGGAAATAAAGATTACACAAATTGAACGTTTTCCGTAATCTTTGATCGGCCCATTCTCAAACTCCTCTCTCCGATCCCCCTCTTGTTCCGTTTCTTCCTTGTCGAACCCGTGATTCCTCGGTCCATTCCAGGTTATAATCTTTGCAATTGGTGAACATGTAATCTATACTCCCGTTTGTGACACTGTGGAGGCCTAAAATACGGTAACCAATCAGAAATGGATTCACATCGTCTTGACTCTCAGTATAAAGGGACTCTAACAAAAACTTTCAATTTCCTTGATCTTTATTCCCGTTTGTGACTCCATGAAGGGAGGTTGTCTTAAGGTGATTCGTCAAGCTCAAGTGACGTGGTCGAACTGGCATGCGATATATCGCATCTTTTAGGTCAAAAATCTCGGCAGATTTTGAATTTTCAGCAAAAAAAAGGACGATAGCCCCTGCGCATGAGCCTAAAGAATCATTCTAAACCCAAAAATCGGCAAAATTCAGAGAAATGAAAGCAGGATAGTGTTCGGAAAAAAACCTCGCATTCGATACAGAAATCGATAGCTGAATCGAACGCGAGGTTTTTTTTCCAAACACTATTTTTCTTTCATTTCTCTGAGTTTTGCCAATTTTTGGGTTTAGAATGATTCTTTAGGCTCATACGCAGGGTCTATCGTCCTTTTTTGGCTAAAAATTCAAAATCTGCGAAGACTTATGACCTAACCGATGCGATATATCCATGCAAGTTCGACCACTTCTTTTGAGCTTGACGAATCACCTTAACTCTCAGTATAAAGGGACTCTACTCGAGACTTGAGGGCCGAAGAGCTAGCATCCAATCGGAGACGGGTGAAATGGTCAGTGAATCGGATCTGGGGTGCGGTTTGCGTGAACGCGCCTCCCACGGCCGCAAGTGTCGGTAGGATGGTGCGACTTTAATTTTGATTGACTCGCAGGCGGCGGTGGTGGCAGGCGGCAGGCGGCGGCAGGCGTCAGCGTTGGGCGTCGGGCGTCGGCGGTGGGAATGTCAATTACACAGTTCACCGCAGTCCCAGTCGGGTTCCTTACTCAGTCGCGTAAACATGTTTGCCCGAATCGGGCTCAGGGGCTTCGAAACCGAAATTTAATTAAACCCCAACCAAGCCCGAGCTCCTTGTCTCCGCAGCCTATGATGACATCCAAGTGCGGCTCCTCGAATATGAATCACTGTTTGCGTTGTGCATCGGGAGCGGGTGCAGTCGGGGCGATGATTCGCCCACGAATGCTGCCCGCCATGTAATTGACGGAATTCTTGCGGCTGTGTCGAAGGTAAATCGTCGCCCTCCTGACATAAAGGCGTAACTACACTAACTAAACCCTGCCGTTCGTACAATGGAGAATTTGCACACAAAAATTTTATTGCTTCATCTAAGAGTGCACTATGAGCTGAGTGCGCAGTATTTTTTATATTTTTTCTGACATGGGAAATTGTAGAAAAATAGATTTAAAAGTGAGATTTGCCGTCTTGTGACGTCATCTGGCGGCATTTTCCATTTAAACACGTGTATTTTAGCAGATTAGGTTATTTTGTCATATTTTCTCCAATAATTGCCCAATTTAGAAACAAAGGGTATCCTCGTACTCAGTTCCCCCAGCAATGCCATTTTAAAGATAAAATTCACAAAATTTCAGACACCTGCAAATTCTCTATTTAATGCTTTCCCAGGCTAAGCTCAATGTGTTGTTACGCCTTTTTGTGAGCTGGGCGGCGAAATGATCAAACCGGGAATGAGCCAGGGCCGAATTTTATTGGTCTTTTTGCCATAATGCCATGCTAAAAACACCGTATGAAACTTCTGGGGTTGCCAAATTTCCTTTGATAAAACAAGATTTTCTTGCCAGACTTATGAATGTTTTTCGACTAATTTTTCAGGTTATTTTGTTCGGAATTTCACCCACAGTTCCTGAAAATTTCAAGCAAAAATAGTCTTAACTTTCCTTGAAAATATTATTTTATGGAAGGAAATTTGGCAACCCTCGCATGTTCTTACGACGTTCTTCCTTAGTATGA